TGACTAGTGATCGCGTGTACATAGGCCAAACTGGAAGGTGTATGAACCACACACGCCAGGGTACCGGCAGCCAAAGTTGCTGTATTGCCCTACATGCATACCATTTCGCATAACTTGCGAAGGATAGCGAGAAAGGCCGGTGCAGATGTAGTGTTTTCTGCTCCCGAACGGTTACAAGGAATGTGCAAAAAGCTTGATGCAGACAGTAGCAGGAAACAGGATTGTAAGATGAAGCTAAGAAAAATTTGTTAATTGTATTCGAGGTGTCGTCTATTGCACTCCTTTGACTAGTGATCACGTGTACATAGGCCAAACTGGAAGGTGTATGAACCAAAGACTTAGGGAACACTAGTACAACATATAAAAAGCTGTATGCGGTCATTTGGGCACTCACTATCAGAGGTGTGGTTGCATCCCTTTGTTTGAAAACACCAATGTTCTCTATAGGGCACGTGACAAAACTACGCACGAAATCACTGAAGCTTATGAAATTGACAAAATGAAAGAAAAATGTGTGAGTGTGGCTTCCTCTGCTTTTTCAGCTGAAGAAAAAAGGTATCTAGAATCTTTGCTTTGACGAAGGCTAGTTCAGATTCTCGCAATCAGTGATGACACGCGCATAAGCTGTGCTGTATCTTTACATGATGTTTCCTACGTTTTATCGATCTACTGTTATTGTACAAATAGCAGGTGAGATTGCAAATGAAGCATTAGTTGCAAATTAGCGCTGTGGGTATGTATGTCTCTCCTTCATGTCCTTGTCGTGGTGCGCTATACCAATATGAATGAACCCCAACCAACTAGCCTGGCAAAGTGCCTTAGAAAGCGCAGATGTAGCATCCGGAGATAGTGCAGGTGACTGCATAGATTTCGCGTTTTGACGAGACGAGGTCAGCTTGGCTGCAAAATGACGGCAAAACTATGTGGATGCATTTTCACATTCCACTCAATTGATTTTCCAAGCACTACTGAGGAACCATCTCTCATACTTTCACCGATGGCCTCTGCGACTAACTCATTACGTTCCGTAGCCAGAACTAATCGAGGAGGCCACACTTCAGCAGTGCTGCTGTTGCCACAGCATACCTAGCATGGCATTACCGTGTTCAATCACAGTTTTAAATAGCCTGGCAGCCACAGCCTTTGCTTTTTCGTCAATAAGTGCTATTGGCGCCCACTTGTGAGAATTGTCGGATTGTTTTTTGAATTCCGAAAGAATCAACCAGTCCTTACACAATCCAAAGTAACTTCTTTTAAATTAAAACTGCTTTAGCTTCCCTTTAAGCCTTAATGCTTGGTTTCACATGGCCATTGCAGCCACATTTCAATTAATTCAAAATGCGAGAGTTCCAAGATGTACTCACATTTAGGAGGATGTTAAAAAAAACAAGGTAGTCAAAATTTTAGGAGACCTTCACTACCCCATTCCCCATAATAAAACCATTTTTTCAAAATGTGAAGCCCAACCCTCCACCCCCCCTCCCCCAATTAATTATTATCATGTTTGGGTTAACCACGCACATGCAGCCCCTCTAATGTACAGTCTCAAGCGCTTAACACCCTCAAAAAAGGTGCCAAAGACATGCCATACCATCAACTGAGGAGTGCCTGTAAGTGCATACGATAATATGCATATTGTATAACTATCGACTTAAATTTTATTTCTCTGAAAATCCAGAACAGCTCATTCGAATTTAGAAAAGAAGTGCCGGTTCAGCTTCATGTGTAGGTTGTGGAGTTTTGTCAACAAACAAAACATGCTGCTGCTTCCTCACACCCCTATAAATGTGGTAAGAGAATTGCCACACCATTACAATTGAGGGCACCGAAATTCTGAGTTTTCATAATAATAATAATAATAATAATAATAATAATAATAATAATAATAATAATAATAATAATAATAATAAAAACAGACATCTCCTCATACCAACTTTTTTTTTACGTTATCATACGAATCCAGAAATACACAGCCCTATATATGACAACACATAATGCAAAAGCAGTGCCATTTCTTTTATTGAGCTCTTCGTAATTACCTAAAAAAAAATTCTGAAGACCCAGCAGTAGCATTGAAAAAAAATTTGATGAATGTAGGCATAAATACTTATCAAAAGGCATGTGTGATGACAATTTCTTCTTTTGCAATGTGTTACCAGAGTGAGCTGACAAAACAGCCTTTTGGCACTTTCTGCATCTATACTCAATCTCAGAAGCACTTCGCAGCACTGTGGAAGCTGTAGGACTTCTTAGCCAACAGGAAAGGCAAAAGCCCTTCAAGGCGTGTTCATCCGTGTCACTTCATCTGCTCATTCTCTCGTCGACAACGTAGTAGCGACGTCGGCTAGCCTATGTTGTCGCTACTTGCTACCTGCAGTTAATATACCACGTGAAATAGGTCTTCGAGAATGACACCTCACTGTTTCTTTTTTATGTTCAGACACCTGCTTGTACAGTGTGCGCTAGCTGGCATTTGAAGAATGCTGTTCCTTTCATAGCATCGTTTATATAGGCGCTTCCACCAGATTTTTTTTTGACAGCACCCAATTCCTTTAGAACTACTAATCTTCGTTCATTCAAAAAATGGGGGATATCTGTACTAAAACCTTGTGCTTATTCAGTCTTCAGTGGCCGTCACGTGTCGCTCTAAAGTGAAACAGCAAATTATTGGCACAGCAAGCAGTATAGACATTCAGGGTGCTTCACATCGTCAACACATCACCAGTGCTAATGCTGTGGTGCCATCTGTTCCGTTGCCATCAAACCACTTTAGCTGCTTGGCACCACATTGGTAGTCCTAGCAGCATCAAAACGAATGAGCGATCTACATAATAGTGAAAAAAAGATACCTGATGCTTTGCCCCCAGTGTAAGGAGACAGCACCAACAAATTATGTGACTTATTTATTTCCGAGGGGAGAGAAGCACAAATTTGGATGGGATGGACTGGGCTGTATGAAGAGGCTGCTGTATTGTACATCATCGCGGTTAGGGTGGCTATTACAGTTACCCGCCTGTATTATTTTAGGAAATGCAAAGTGCATTTGTGAAGGACTTAACCTAATACGTATTACTGTTAGTAACTTAACATGTAACCCTTGTAGTTTGTTCATAATGAAATAATTATGCCCAGAACAATATCTGCCTGCGTACTCCTCGTAGCTTTAGCAGTGCAAGGTAGTTGCGAGATGAAGTATAATTAAATTATACAACTGCTCAATCAAACTATACAACTTTGTATTTAAGGGACAAGACCATGCTTACTGCTGTCTTTCTGAGATGGAATTTTTCAATTGGAACCACAATTTGGTTTCAATGGGGGTAGAATTCAATAACCCACATGCACTAAGATTAGGTGCATGTTAAAGAACCGAATGTGTTAAAAAATTAATGTTGTGTCCCCCACTACAGCATGCCTCACTATCATATTGTGACTTTGGCAGGTAACACCCAAGAAACTACTATAACTACCACAATTTGAAGACACCCTGGACTGTGGCTGTTAGGTCAGAGGTCACACCAAGTGAAATTTGTTAGGACACATTCATGGCTATGTCGATCCCCTATTTATTTGAAAAACTGAAGACCCAGTTTATCATAAAAATAAAGTATCAATTTCAGGCACTTAACTACAAGAACAATGAGCAACCTCAAATTTACATTAGTCACAGAACGCGAACTAAGGGACTGTATATGCTGCATGCCTTTTCAACATGCTTTTATCATATATTATAACTTACAACTATCAGACAAAAATATATTCAGTAGGTCATGAAGAAAAAGAACAGATAGACACACGCACACATGCAGTAGCACCACCACCAGTGTGGTGCCAATCAATATATATACTCATTGTACAATATTAAGCAACAGGATAGCAAGCCAGTCTGAGGACTGGGTAACCTCTCTCTCCTTCAGTTTCTCTTCTCCTCCTCCCTACATTAGGCCAATGGATCTCAAATGGGGGTCCGCGAAGCCATTTTTAAGATTTGCGAGACCCTCATTCACTCTTTGAACATTAAAACATTTTTTTTTTTTTACATATGCAACTCTGTTTAAGCGCGACTGTGCCAAGAATTTATGAACTGTCCAAAATGAAGTGACACATTTGTTTGATGTTTTTGGTAGCAATAAAAGGCACCTGTTTCACGCTCCGGTTGTGATAATTTACCTATGTACCTCCTCTCTCCCCTCCAAGGGGTCCCCTATCACTCCACCAGTCCACAAGGGGTCCCCAACACATCCATGGCTGAGAACCACTGCCATTAGGCAATTATAAGAAAACTTCAGAACATTTCACTCTATGAAGGTGGGTGTCCAGAACTGATGGCTACAAAATATCCTTTGGGAGTTCTCTTAGGGATGTGTAACCATAGAGTTTTATTGTAAACAGTGACTTTCCCTAGAATGCCGTTTCTAGGTGAAATCGTCATTGCGTCTTCTTCTAGCATTGGCAGCTTGAGCTGCTCTATAAAGAGTATATGACGAAACGTTTTGTACAAAATTTTTTAAAAGCCAGCATTTTTAAGATGTGTTAAATTGAGCATTTTTTTCCCCACCACCATACACCATCAGTACACCTCATATAATGGGTTGAAGTCACAAGAGGTGTACTGCCGCAGCAGCCAATTACAAGATAACAACAGTTTTTTTTTATTTTGGTCTACAAAAGCAGCGACTCACTGGAAAATAGCGTACAATATTCAAGGTCAGTTCCATTACACTACACTGGCAAATTTGGTTTGTTAAGTGACATGAGACCAAATTGGCTGATACCTACAGCTGAAGATCACAAATTTGCCTCCATGCGATTGCAAATGGATGCATATACAAGAACTGGATTAATGCAAGGGCAAGGTCAGAAGTGCTTACACTGACCAACTTTTGGTTCTCAGTAGAACATTACATATAGTTGTTTTCTGCCTAAACTCAATAAAACAAATGTGACAAAAATGTGAGGGACACAGACACCACATCGCTAAAGTGAATCCAGAAACTGACCAGGCAGTCTGTTCATGTTGACGCCCTGTGCGGACAGGCCCACACCCATGTAGCCATCCCTACCCTTACTGACGATCTTCACTTCGAAGTAATATAGGCCACATGCTGCAGGAATTGGGTGAGTGGCACGAACACTAGCAGCATCTTTGTGGTTCTTGCCAACACCTAGAGAAAGGCACAGAACAAATATACGTTATACAGACTTTTGTTGACACAAAATTCACTAAAATCTAATCCAGAAGTGCCTTCTCAAATGGTTAGCAATATGCGAAAAAGTGCTCTACAGGTCAAACTCCCCTCCCCCCCTCCCTCCCCACTTAAAACACACAATGAATGAGCGAAAACAACTGTAGAATCAGTTTCACATAACAAAACTACAAATAATGAAGGGTTATCATTGCACAGTAAATACAAACTGAGTACATATCTAGCATACTGTTTGGATGTGCTATGTGCACTTGATGCAGGACATGCACAGAACACATTCATTTAACAGCATGTTTGAAAGTGCGACTCCCCCCCCCCCCCAACCCCTTCATATTCAATGCAGCCCAAATTTCTATTAGCGAAGCTTAATCACAGTAAGTGACAGTGATTGCAATAAATCACAGTACCTGCAGTAAGTGAAACTGCAGCATAACTCATGCATATTAAAAAAAAACGATTTTAAAAACTTTCATCGCAGCTTTGGTGTGCACCATTTATTTCTTGCATCTACCAGTGAATTATGTATACTTCTTTTTGAGGGGAAAAAAAGGGACAACACAACGTCACTTGTTATAGAATCGGAACACAGTACACGCTGCCCGACTGTTTACACATTAGTCACTGATACCGTCAACCACTCAAGTCAGTGCAGTGCCATCAATGATCGACAGTGGCAAATATATTGTAAAAAATGCAGACGCTGAGAAACTTGAGTATCACAGAATTCGCAGCCAGTAGGCCTAGTGCAGAAAGTGTAGCAGGCGCTGGAGCAGCTGAAGAGTAAACAAACCAAATGTAAATTATCGACCCCAAGCTGCACGCAAGATGTTGATCATCGATGATTGACAATGACCTCTATCGACGAAGGCACTGATAAGTGTGCCACAGAGAAGAATTTCGGATCAGCATTAAATAACAACGTAAATAACCAATTGCGAAATAAATGTAGCAGTAAACGCATGAATAAATGTAAAGTTACTTCTCGACGAGCGTAGTAATGAATTCTCGCACAAAATAAAACAACGACCGCAATTACAACATCTATTAAGATGTCATATGATTATGTGAAACTGCAACGAACGCTAGCACCCGAAACTGAACGCTAGCTGTCAGCAGTTTGCTAGGCTGCGAACAGCTGAAACTTCGTTTCATATGCGTCATGACGGCATGGCTAGAGATCGCAAATGAAACGTACGACGCTATAGTATTTCTACGGCAACAACACCGTGCGGTCCTGATCAGAAGGTAGACTTCTACGAAATCGTAGAAAGCCAACCTGTGAAAGCACATAAACAAATTACTTTAAAAGATCTTGCAGTTCCACTAACCTTTATAGTGTACTCGAAGATTGTTTTGAGACAAGCCTATGTACGTGAATTTGTCCTTTGGGCTCCAAGAACGCGGAAGAGGAGTTTCTTCTTCATTCACCGTGGGGTACAACAACTTCAAACGATCAGTTGGCTGTTGCGAATACGATGTTGTAGATTCTGTATTACCAAAAGCCTGATTCATTGTCGCCATTGTAGTACCCAGTTACCCGGATGCATTTACGTAAAATACGTCACTTCATGTTTGCTCGACTTCAATCCCCCTAGCGACAGAAAAATTAAGCTCGAAAAAAAAAAACGAAAAAGAAAAGTCAAAGTTGTGTGTGAAGGGAAAAGAAGGTAGTAGAAACAGACAGCGTGCACGCTTATGAAACTTTTGAAAGTATTGAAGCGCTAGAGGTGTTAAAAGTGTTATGCGGTAGAACTAGTACTTTATTGCGCGCGGCATTTTGTGCTCTTGTCATGTCGTTAGTGGTGTTATAACCCACAGCAACTGGGTTATAAGCGTCGTGTTCACTTTTTGGCCTCTTGCACCACAAAATTCCGGTTGATCTACATTAGAAACGGCGATGGTTTTATCTTTTCTGTTCCTCAGTGCATAATCGTTTCCTACGAAGTGTATGTCGGCTTGCGAGTAACGCACCCACTTTTCATTTGCGGTGAAATTAAACAAATTTCTGTAAAACGTGGGCACATGCTGTGTGCGTGACCAATTTATTTTACTATGTCGCTTCAGTGTTTGCCTTCGTGCCGCTGTATTACAATTTACAATACCATGGTTGTATACTGCGCGCATGGCCTGGTTGCATTTGCGCGCAGTATACAACTTTCTGTGATGCGACTACGTTAATCTAATTTCAGGGACTTCGCGCTGGTGTAGTGTGTCGCGCTGTCTGAGGCTACTCAGTCAGAGTAGTTGTGATATTTGTGACCAACTTCCAGTGGCGTACCAACTCTTCCATGAGTGGTGGGGCTAGCCGGTGTGTGTGTGTGTGTGTGTGTGTATATATATATATATATATATATATTATATATATATATATATATATATATATATTATATTATATATATATATTAAGGAAAGAAGTGTATACCTAAGGGCTCGTTTTTGCGTGTTTTTACACAATATTAATGAGATCTAACAGACAATAATGCCAAGAAAAGTATAGGGAAGATATTAGACCAAATTGTAATGTAAATATGAAGAAAAGTGGGTGAAAAGATAACTGGCCGTCGGATCCTGCCCACAGCAAGTTATCTTTTCACCCACTTTTCTTCATATTTACATAACAATTTGGTCTAATATCTTCCCCTATACTTTCCTTGGCATTATTGTCTGTTAGATCTGATATATATATCGAACGCGTTATTCGAAGGTCGTAGGTTCGTTTCCTGCTCACGGCAGGTTATTTTTTCACCCACTTTTCTTTCTTCTTATTTACATTACATTGGTTCTAATAACTTCCCCTAGACATTCTTTGACATTATTGTCTGTTAGATCTCATTAATATTGTGTCAAAACATGGAAAAACGAACCCTTAGGTATACACTTCTTTCCCTTATATATATATATATATATATATATAAGGGAAAGAAGTGTATACCTAAGGGCTCGTTTTTCCGTGTTTTTAACACAATAATAATGAGATATAACAGACAGTAATGCCAAGGAATGTACAGGGGAAGTTATTAACATTAATGGAATGTAAATAAGAAGAAAGAAAAGTGGATGAAAAAATTACCAACTGTAAGCAGGAATCGAACCTACGACCTTCGTTCCATTAATGTTAATAACTTCCCCTGTACATTCCTTGGCATTACTGTCTGTTATATCTCATATATATATATATATATATATATGGAGAAGTTTTTCTAATAGGCCAAACGTAATTGAGAAGAGAAGAGACACAACTTAGCGGTTGCCCTAATTTTATTTCCAATGGTTTCGACCGGTGGACTGGTCTTCGTCAGGGTTTGCGAACAAGTATGAGAGAAAGACAACTGCTTCAACACGCTCGCACTTTCACGAGATTTTTCATACACAAAGCACTTGTTCAATTGCGTAAAAAAAGGACAGCCAGTTTTAGGCAGCATGCACTGGGACAACAGGTATATGTTTGTCATGCATAATGCACGAAATATTATTACACAACCATTTTTATGCATTAACTGACAACTTTCCACATGAATGCAATTATGTTGATGGTGGTACAGTAAATATTTTATCATAGATTGAAATTTTTTTAATGACTAGAAACTGCTTACTAAGAATTCAGGTTTTAAATGTGAAGCACTCCTTGAGGAACCAAAAGCATTTTGAGCATTTCTATCTACTTACTTTAGCTTTCCTCTGAGCTCGAGTCCACTGCTTTATCAGTCGTCGCTTTCCAAGCTGCCCCCATCGCTCCAAGTAGCCATAAGCAAGGCTGATCAGATTTGTTGGAGATTAAAGCGGAAACCTTTCTTGGCGTTTCCAGAACGGCAAAACTAATATATTTAGAAAGATTATTTGCAATGATGTGCTCACAGCAGCTTCGACAGGTCAGCGGGGATGGTAATCCTTTTTGATGAAAGAAAATGATTTTCCTGAAGCAGCAAATGCTTTGACTGCTCCGTAAAAAGCTTGTTCGTTCCCATCTATAACAGCATCGGCCAGTCGCAGCAGAATAAAAACATCAACAAGTGATGTAATATATAGGGCCCCTGTTCAGCCCTAGCCTGCTCTTTAGTGCTACTGCACAGGGCAGAAAGCATCGCAAAGAGCCTTCAAGAAAAATCTTCACTGATGAAATGTTAGAAAATATCACTACATTGTACCTTTGCCTCAATAGTTTCTTTTTCTCATAACAATATAATTGAGTGATTACAGTGAAGGAAAGTTTTGTCTTACGTGATGTTTGCCCCAGCGTGCTGCCGACAGTGACCAATGTCAAAAGTAGGGGGGGGGGGGGGGGGGGGGCTTGCGCCCTTTTTGCCCCTCCCCCGGTTGATAAGCCTATGCCAACTTCGGCTGTTTGAGGGTTCGTGGCACGCTTGCAGGTGGAAGTTATGTTGGTATGCACGAGGGCGCGGGTTCAGTTTTGAAAGGGTTGAAATGCAAGAGCGCCCGTGTTTGTATGCGTAAATTTAACAAAATTCAGGTAGCGGAAGTTGATCTGGAGTTGCATACTACGATGGATATTATCTTTTCATTAGTTTTACACTTTCAAAAAGTATGTTAAGAACGGGTAACTTGGAAGTGGCAGTTTTGTGGAGCCATGGTCAATTTAAAAGGTATAAAAATGAGCCTTCACACTGAACACCGTTTCAATGCATACAACGTGTGTGAAGTACAACACAGTTCAACTGCCTTAGTTGGAGAAAAGGTGGTTTGCTCCTGCACAACATGGTCATCTGCTTGATTGACAGTGGCGCTCAAGTTTAAATACTATAGCTGCGAGTCACAATCTCTAAGAAGCTTATGAGATTGTTTTTAGTATATGGAATATCAAAGCAAGACAACTGCTTTACTCAGCTGGGCATTCGACGTTTTAGAAAGATATTATAGTGGACCTCAAGGGCGCAACTTGAGGGAAAATATTAGGCTACACCTTATAGTTAAGGCATGTGTGGTCCAACTCTGATGTATTCGCTCTTGCAAACAGAACTACCATTTCGTAACAGCAAAGGCTTGCTGACAGAGGTAGATAAAACTTGTAAAAAGGTGTGAAATGCCTTATTCTAAAATAACCTTTTTATTAAAGATACAAGAACTTCTTGACAATGTTAACTTAATGAACTTGTTTCCGTCTGTTCACTATGCTAAACTATAAAAAAATATTGTGTGGGTGTGATTTCTGAAAAAAGTCATTTAACTACCCTCTGCAAAGAGGGGAACACATGCATTTGCACCATGAATTCTTAGTACCATACAAGTATTAGGCACCAGAACAAGCACACAATCCATACCAGTCCTTTTGCCACTTCCACAGTCTGAGAATGTAAAAATGGTTGGCACGCAGTAACCTAGACAGTCTTGAAAATTAGTAATGCAGCACCTTCTTTTTTCTTTTTCAGTTCGCTGGCAGTGTACATGCAGAGAATATGTTCCGCAATGAACACACACAAGATTGTAAGAATGTTTATTAGCCTAAAAATAATATGCCACGGAATTTTTTACACTGCACTCAGAAAGCTCAAAATGTTTATAAAATGACCTTTTCATTTATCACATGGCAAGTGACACCACCCATGTTAGCATTGCACACATTGTCATGATCCCCATCAAAATGCAAACTGTGGATGAGAAAAAGGAAAGGGAATGGCATGAACAAAAAGCTCGGAATGTATATGAAATGACCTTTTCAATTATCACTTGACAAGTGACACAACCCATGTTAGTGTTGCACACATTGTAGTGATCCCCATCAAAATGCAAGCTGTAGATGAGAAAAAGGAAAGGGAATGAACATGAAATCACAACCGAAAAGCACTCTTGACTTCAAAAAGAACCCTACTGTGGCTGTTCTCTTTCACTTATCACAATAGCTGGAAAACAAAAGTCACACATCGTGGACTTTCGGCTCCACTGCTGCTGAAGCTGCTCCAACAGTCTTCTTGCACTCTACAAGAGCATCCTGCAGATGCTTCACTGTGATAGCCATCTTCTCCAACTGCACAAATACAATCATAAATAGTGAATTTAAAAACATTGTTTATTGAAATCCTTACTACAGCAGTAACTTTTCTGTGAACTTGTGGCCTAGATTCTCATTTATGCCTCTATTCTCATTTATGCCTAGATTCGTTTATGCCTCTATGTATCTTGCTGTGATGTGTACTTGCCATGATAATAGTGTCACGGGGTCGTGACATGGCCAAAGACAGAAAACTTCGTGTTGGGATTTAACTGTTTATTTGGGCGAACCTGTGCCCGGTAAAGGGAAAGTCTAAAAACAGCAGCAGTCTTGCACAGATAGCAGTCTCGGACTGATAGCGGCGAACGCAGCGTCGGCCTTCGATCAACAACTGACAAGCGGCGAAGCGCGTCGGCATTTATACCCTTGCCGTCGAATGTTCTAGCGTTATCGCTGGCGGTGGCGTAGGTTCCAGAACACTCTGTACCGTTCGCACAGTGGGCGTGATCTTAGCGAATTGATCTACTACAGTCCGGAACCTTCTCGAAACCTGCAGGCGCGGTTTGCGCCGAGAATCGTGTGGTGTTTCGGAACGATAACAAAAACTTGTGAAATGGAACGTGGCATTGCCCCCCTCTGAAAAAAAAGCATCGTCCCGATGCTTTAACTAAAGATGAAGGTACAATAATAATGCAAGAAAGTACAATGAATAAATTACAATACAACAATAATACAAAAAACACTGTTTCAGTTTGTTAACGTGCATGAAACGGCTTGAGGCGCGCGACATGGACGACTTCAGGTCGCGATCGGCGTCGTTGAGAGTTCGTGATGCTGTCGGGGACAACCTCGTAATCAAGTGGGCCGAGACGTCGAACCACCCTGTACGGTTCGAAGTACCGTCGCAGAAGCTTTTCACTTAGTCCACGTCGGCGTATCGGCGTCCACACCCAAACACGTTCACCGGGCTGGTATTCCACGAAGCGTCGTCGAAGGTTGTAACGGTGGCTGTCGGTCGTCTGTTGATTCTTGATACGAAGACGCGCAAGTTGTCGAGCTTCTTCGGCGCGTTGAAGGTACTCGCTCACATCGAGGTTTTCTTCGTCGGTGACGTTGGGTAACATGGCATCGAGCGTCGTTGCCGGGCTCCTTCCGTAGACCAGTTTGTATGGAGATATCTGCGTCGTCTCCTGCACCGCCGTGTTGTATGCGAAGGTCACATACGGAAGAATGGTGTCCCACGTCTTGTGTTCGACATCGACGTACATTGACAGCATGTCGGCGATCGTCTTGTTAAGCCGCTCGGTGAGGCCGTTGGTCTGTGGGTGGTACGCTGTCGTCCGGCGGTGGTTTGTTTGGCTGTATGCCAAGATCGCTTGAGTTAAGTCGGCAGTGAATGCCGTTCCTCTGTCGGTGATAAGGACCTCCGGGGCGCCGTGACGTAGGACGATATTTTCGACAAAGAACTTAGCTACCTCGGATGCACTGCCTTTTGGCAGGGCTTTTGTCTCGGCGTAGCGGGTGAGGTAGTCGGTAGCTACCACGATCCACTTGTTTCCGAAAGCCGACGTCGGGAACGGCCCCAGTAGGTCCATACCAATCTGCTGGAAAGGTCGGCAAGGTGGATCAATTGGCTGCAGAAGTCCCGCTGGCCTTGTCGGCGGTGTCTTGCGTCGCTGACAGTCCCGGCATGTCCTCACATAACGAGTGACGTCGGTGGTAAGACGTGGCCAGTAGTACCTTTCTTGTATCCTCGCGAGTGTGCGAGAAACACCGAGGTGCCCTGCCGTCGGATCGTCGTGCAGGGCCTGCAGGAGTTCTGGTCGCAGAGCTGAAGGCATCACAAGGAGGTATTTAGCTCGAAGCGGTGAAAAGTTTTTCTTTTGTAGAAGACCGTTCCGTAGAAAGAACGACGCAAGTGCGCGCTTGAATATCTTCGGGACTTCGGCGGTCCTGCCTTCGAGGTATTCTATTAGGGCTTTAAGTTCCGGGTCGGCCCGCTGTCGTTCAGCGAAGTCGTCGGTAGTTATCGTTCCCAAGAAGTAGTCGTCATCCGAGTCGTCGGGTAGCGGTTGGTCGACAGGCGCACGAGAGAGACAGTCAGCGTCGGAGTGTTTTTTGCCGGACTTGTAAATGACAGTAATGTCATATTCTTGAAGTCTCAGGCTCCATCGTGCGAGGCGACCTGAAGGGTCCTTCAAGGTGGCTAGCCAACACAAGGCGTGGTGGTCGCCTCTGATACAAATTCTTGGACGGTGTTCGGTGGATTCCTCATTAGTCCCGCGAAGAGCTCCTGTTTGACCCCTCGCATGAGGAAACGAACTTTCTTTTCCTCAGGCATGTCTGGGTCAGCGTGACGGAATAGGCTGGTCATCTCCTCTGTGAAAATTCCAACCTTTTCATTTGGTAGCTGAACCCGGGTCTCGAGTAGAGCAGCGGCCCTCTCTTTGCGAGCGACGCTTGCGAACGTTTGAAGAAATGCGCCGCAGAAGACATCCCACGTTCAAAGCGTGGACTCCCGATTCTCTAGCCAGGTCCTTGCGGTGTCTTCCAGGTAGAAGTACACACGACGGAGCTTTTCTTCGTTGTCCCAGTGGTTGAGGGCGGCCACACGGTCGTATGTTTCTAGCCAGGCTTCCGGGTCTTCAAACGATGAGCCATGGAACGTTGGTGGTTCCCTGGGTTGATGAATGACGATCGCCGGCTGGGACGCTCCGGTTGTCATTGTCGCTGCAGTCGAGGTCATGGTCTTGGTCTTCCGCGCCTTGTCTTGTAGCAGGCCGTACTCCGGTGGGAGACCTTGCTGTCGGCGGCTCGTTCGCTGCTCTTGGTTGGCGTCGGTGTCTTCTCCGCGAAGGGGGCTGGGTTCACGGCTTGACGGGGGCGTCCGGTACATGAACGAAGCAGCACCTCCACCAGATGTCACGGGGTCGTGACGTGGCCAAAAACAGAAAACTTCGTGTTGGGATTTAACTGTTTATTTGGGCGAACCTGTGCCCGGTAAAGGGAAAGTCTAATTACAGCAGCAGTCTTGCACAGATAGCAGTCTCGGACTGATAGCGGCGAACGCAGCGTCGGCCTTCGATCAACAACTGACAAGCGGCGAAGCGAGTCGGCATTCATACCCTTGCCGTCGAATGTTCTAGCGTTATCGCTGGCGGTGGCGTAGGTTCCAGAACACTCTGTACCGTTCGCACAGTGGGCGTGATCTTATCGAATTGATCTACTACAGTCCGGAACCTTCTCGAAACCTGCAGGCGCGGTTTGCGCCGAGAATCGTGTGGTGTTTCGGAACGATAACAAAAACTTGTGAAATGGAACGTGGCAATAGCATGAAGTGATTAGTGACCACTGATTAATTTGCATAGAAAATTGCACTTTGCATATTATCCTATATATATTTCCGTAATTGAATTATCTTGATGTGACAACGTATATGCACGTATAAATGACCATTAACTATAAATTCTCTAATGTAATAATTATTCAAGCCAGCCCTATTCACACATTAGTTTGCTAACTAGCAAGTTTTACTAATCAGCATTTTACTACCTTCATTTACTAGGAGGTTAGTGCTTTTTGTGACTTTTAGATTTTTTTCTAAGAATGCATGTTTAAACTCATAACATTTTTATATTGTTTAAGCTTAAATGAATTAATGCTAAAATGACTACTTAGCGAATCGTCGCGTAGGGATTAGAGAAGGTGCCGCCTTGGTTACGTGAGATTGCCTGCTTTGGCTGGCTACCGGAACCAATGCTTTGAAAAATGTATTCTCTGTGTGGTTTATCTTGTACAACAGTTCATCACACACAGTTCATCGTGTATGATTGTGCACTGCGCTGACCTATAGACCTTTGCGATAAGAGTTTCAGGCAAAGGCACCCACATGTGTGTAGGCAGGGGGGACTATATTTCAAAAAAGGGGGGGGGAGGGGGGGGGTAATATGTGGCGAGTCTTCACGCAAGCTGGTATCGAAAGCTTGCAGTAAGCACAAGCATCGCACCGGCGTTGATGCGTATCCCAACTTGGAGAAGCATTTTTTCGAATGCGTCCGAGTCGCCGACGGTGGCAGAGGCAAAAACAAAGTGAAGGATGGGGAGACAGCAGGCAGCCCAGGCGCCACAGATGGGGCAAGAAAATCAAAAGAAATAAAAGGCAGGGGGTATGACGCCACCGTATAGTTCCGCAAAATGGATACAAAGGCATAAAGCCGCGGTTAAGCGAAGAATAGAGAAAAAATTTTGCGAAACACAATCTATATAGTGACACAATTATAGTAGGTGTATTGCTTATAAATGTACCACGCTTGTAATCAGGCATGCCTTTTTAAATTACTGCTGTATTGCTCAATTTGAAGGTCTGACTAATGTTTGAAGTTTGGAAAAACAGCACGTCGATAAATATGTGCTCTACTTTTGGAAAAAGACGTAATTCCATTCCGTGAAAAATGCTGTAAATTCCATTCCCATTCCATTCCTACAAGCTTTGTCGTCATTCCATTCCGGATTCATTCCGATTCCAGAGCGGAAACTTCACAACACTGATGATTATGACTCTGATTTGTGATGCAATCATACCGAATAGTATGTGCGAACTGTCTGGGGCAAGTGTTCAGTTAATGGGAACTGTATCGAAGACTCTTTGTTGTCTGTTTAGGTTAAAGTTTTAATGATTACGACACTAGATATTATTCTAACATTTATTGATGGCTAGTATCACATGAGCCTAGTTTCTGAAATAGTTAGGACTGAAGCCTGGCTAAACTACAGCTAATTCAATGGAAAATGTTGACTGCACTCAACGATGCATTGTGAATAGAACTGCATGACAGGTTCCAAAAGAATCATGGCAAGCATTACGAGAGGCTCCAAAGTGAAAAAAAAGTGCCGCAATATCCACGAAGTGAATGATGATGAGTGGGCGAAGCTCCGGAGGAAAACCTAGTAAACCATGAATCTTCCGTACATTTTGCCCACTCGATTTTATTACAATGCTCCCCCCTAAGCGTACGTCGCCGCACTAAATCGAACGATTGCCTTCCACCAATGACACGTGCCATATGCGACATCATTCCTATTTTATAACATCTCACGTCTTTTATCATCAGTTACAAGTACCGCCGTCTAGTTTATAACATCTTGCATCTTTTCATCATCAAATACAAGTACCGCCATCTAGTGAACACTGCAAAAACTAAACGAGAAGTGGCTACATACAAGAGACGGTACCACCATCTAGTGAACACTTAAAGAACTAAACGAGAGGTGGCTACATACAGGAGACGGTACCGCCATCTTGTGGACACTGCAAGAACTAAACGAGAGGTGGCTACATACAGGGGACGCACAGCCCACGCCTTAAGGAGCTTCGCCCCCTAAAAATGACTTTGGCAGGGGATTACCAAGTTTGTAGCTACTAAATGAGCCATTTAGCTACTTTATAGCGATTTTCTAACTTTAAGCTTGGTTATCTCAAAACCACATTTTTTTATTCCTTAGGTACCATTATGTTTCATGTATTCCAAAATAACCAATTTATTATTTTTTCTTAAACTCCACATAAATGCATGCAGCTACTGAAGTAGAATTGAAATTATGCACTTAAAAGTTTTCATGTTACAAATTTTGATAGATGCCAATTAGCTCAAAATTTAGGTCCTAGTGGTAAAAAATTTGGAAAATTTTAATATGAAGGATATTTTACCAAACTTGCTTTAGTTAATAGACCAATAAATATGAAAAAAATGATGCATCATTGTTCAAATATTTCTTGTAGTCGCTGAGAAAACGGTACCTCAAAATGAATGCATGGGACTTATAAGGCCTACCCCATGCCCTTAAATAGTAGCAGAATTTGACTTTCCGTATAATGTAATTGATAACCTGCAAAATATGTTAGGTTTTAAAATTTACTATAATTAGAGCATTAAGCTGGTATAACATGATTGATTTGATTGACTTATAGTGTTAACGTCCCAAAACCTTCATATGATTATGAGAGACGCCATAGTGGAGGGTACCGGAAATTTCAATGACCTGGGGTTCTTTAACGTGCACCCAAATCTGAGCACACGGGCCTGCAGCATTTTCGCCACCATCGAAAATGCAGCCGCCACAGCCGGGATTCGATCCTATGACCTGCGGGTCAGCAGGCAAGTACCTTAGCCACTAGACCACCACGGCGGGGTAAGCTGGTACAACAAGCTTTTCAAAAAATTATGAATTGATGTGAGGGTAATTTGTTCATTTAACATTTAGGTCAGGGTTCGCAGCAGTGTGGATTTTTCATGATTAGGTGTATCCACTGTACAACACCCCTACACTACAGTGAAACCACCCTTACATGCAGTTGCATATATGTCCATTCATTCATTTCAAATACTTTGAAATTTAGAATAATTAAAATTAACTTTATTTTCAAAGCAAATTCAAATACTGTAATAGTCATATGAATATTCGGGTGGTTCAAATATTTGAACTGCTCGAATATACGCACAAGCTTACTTATCATGGAATGGTAACATGCCAAATGTTGCGAATCATTTATAATCTGAATTGATCTATCAGCAGCAACTGTGAAGTTGTATAAACACAACATGATGTAAACAGGGGGAGGTAAGCATGACAGAACTTGGTGTCCATGTGCTATAGTCTGCAGCACATGCACTGCGGCTTGACAAGTTGCACTATTTGCTGTTTGTGGCAGCACTGCTTCTCTCTGTCAATTCTCTTAACCTTGTAAGCAGTACAGGCTTAGAGTGGGAATGCATAATAATATAGTTTAATTTTGACCACTAATTAAGGTGTACATAAAAGCAATGGACAATATTCAGCAAATTGAACAAATTCATAATGCAGCTACAAGGCTCTTCCAATAGACTGCGTGACATAAGGTTTCTTTTATGACTTTCAAAAACTATAAATCTTACTCAGATTGCAAAAAAGATGCTTGAATCTGTCACTAAAGTTCACGGCCTTTTCATTTCCACTAGGACCTAATCACATGTTTTGGTGAGTTGTCATTTTTTTAAAGCTGCTGGCTAAAGCGATTACCTTCAGTAAGTATTGCTGACTTTCAGCCTTCTCTTTTCGTAACAAACTCCTGACTGATTCCAGTTCGCACTCGACGCTTGTTTGCTGCTTCTTTAAGTTATCAGTTTGTTGTCTAGCAGCAGACAACTTCTTCTCCAGATTATTCACGACTTGGTCACGCAATTCAACCTGTAACGACAAAATAACATTTTTCAATAATCAGAGTAATAATTGTGCTACCATTTCATTCTCACAACAAATAAAATATAATCAAGTTAACAATTCACAGATTGCACAATTCAACCTCTCCATATTAACAATGTCATGAAGTGGACATAATTTGTATCTATAAGCTGTGACACAAGTACCGTATTTACTCGCGTAATGAACCCACTCGTATAATGAACTCGATTGATGATTGATTTGATTGATATGTGGGGTTTAACGTCCCAAAACCACCATATGATTATGAGAGACGCTGTAGTGGAGGGCTCCGGAAATTTCGACCACCTGGGGGCACATAATGAACTCGCCCCCGGTCTTGGTCCTCAGAAAAAAAAAATTTATCTGTTAATTTTATTTTGGTGTGATAGCCAGTGCAAGGCCGTTGACGACCGAAACAGCGTTAAATCAAGCCGTTCTATCACAAAACAATGATGTAATAAAAGTCAAAACATAGGCAACCATGTTAAACAGTTTATTTATTTATTTATTAGAATACCCTCAGGGCCCGTAGGGCATTACAGAGGGGGTGGGTACAACATTTATAACACACAAGAAAAAAAAGACAAAATAAAGAAACAAGTGTCAGATGCACAAATAAGGAAGGCAACATAAGTCAACTAAAAATGTATAAGAATTCAAGCACATACAAGACAAAGATAGATAATGGAAACTGCGTATAGTTACAGGCATTGCTGAGAAATTGCAGTCTTGAATAACAAAGGGTCTGTTATTGCTACAACGGAAGAGGGAAGGTGGTTCCAATCGGCGGCTGTTTTCGGTAAGAAGGCTGCTGAAAAGAATTTAGTGCGGCAAAACGGAATGGCAACCTTATGCTGGTGATCAATGCGCGATGAGTGGTATGACGGTTGTGAAATGAGGTCTCGCTTCATTGATGGATTGTGAAAAAATATCTTATGAAAAAAATGCAGTCGCACCAGTTTCCTCCGGACAGTTAAATTGGGTAGGTCAAGGTTAGATTTCATTTCTGATATGCTAGCAGTTGCGAGCAGTGCGAGCATGGACAACGTATATCAAAATTTAAAAGTCACGCCCTTCGCGGTAGAGCACCTGTCGAATGCAGGAGAAACATTTTTGCTTACAGCACCATGCAAGCAGGCACGAAAACAAAACAAGAAACAAAGTGCATGGCCGTCAAGATGACAAAAACCCGGAGTGTTTTTATGCCGCGCTCTGTAGTGAATTTAGTTGGACACCTGCTGCGCAGGGCGCATTCAACCTTTACACGAGCTACACGGCTGCATGCACTGGAGCATGGGAACGGAGTGGCTGGATGACACTTTGGCGTCGATCCGTGTGCGTTTGTTATGGGAGAAAACAGGAGGAGCTTTGGGCTACAAAAAAGATTTGTCGCACATTTCCCGGGCCAAAACAATCATGCAAAATTTCTGATGCTATATAAATCCCATGCCTTTTTTCCCCACGTAATAAACCCTCCACCAAAATTGGCATCAATTTCTCTCTAAAGATAAAAGTGGGTTCATTACGCGACTAAACATGGTATATTGAAAATGAAAAAAACAACAACAAAAAACTGGAGGCTGAAAGCCAACAATATGAGACAGCGTAAGCTAGCAAGTGAAACCTATTGCAAACATGCCCTACTGTCAACTTAGCTGTTCAATTATATGCAGCCATTATAAAAAAAAAAGCAAGTGCTACAGTTGTATTCACTTGGCAGAAATCCAGTGAATGTTGAGCAGAATTGAAAATACATTTTTATTTATTTTTTTATATAAAAAACCCAAACGCCCTCAACATCAGGATATTACACGAGGGGGACAGACATCACTCACATCTTATGCATTTCAAAAGACGAAAAAAAAAAAAAAACTTTTCATAGTAAATGAGGTGAGACAATGTATAAAAATTTTCAAGCAGATAAACAATATAAAACAGTCACCAGATTCACTAGAAAATCACCTCAAATGACAAGAAAAATAAAAATAACATACTATGATTAGGTGGGAAGTTGTGCGTGAAGAAGATCTTGAAATATGCTAAGATTATGTTTCGTAGCAATGTCTGATGTTTATGCATTCCACTCAGTTATTATGTGATGTGAAAATGAATGCGCACAATGTAAAGACTGGCAGTTTATGCAATTGACTTTATTAGTATGATCATGACGAGGGAAGTTAGCTAATAGTGACTGAAAGAATTCATCGTGAAGAGAATGATGATGAAGTTTATGAACCAGTGATAACCAAAAAAATTTTATGGCAAAGTGCTAGGTTATCCAACTCACCTTCCTTTTTTAATGATCTAACACTACTGTAACATGAATAATCAGAAAAATTAATTACACAGCATGGTTCTGCAGCGCTTATATGTTATTGATGATATATGTTTGTTCAGGGTCCCAGATGGCAGATGTGTATTCTAATTTTGAATGGAGTAACACTACGTATGCTAGTTTTTTACATGCATTGGGGCTCCTTTTAATTTATGTTTGAGGAGTCAAAGGGTGCGGTTAGCAGAGGTGAGGGTAATATTAATGTGGCTGATGCATGATGTTTGATTTTAGATAGTATACATACTGTTTGGGTATAAGGTATCTCACATCTGCATCGCAATACGCCTAGCAAGACATGTATCAGTTCCTGTTTTCTGCCACATTAAATAATGTGTCATACTACATCTTGATATAAAAGCTACTGTGATCGAGGAAAGAAGTGATCGAGAAAAGAAGTGAAGAAGTGGAAATTTTAGGGCTCATTTTTCTTTGTGAGATGCAATGTTCATCATCATCATCAGTCTGACTTTGCCCACTGCAGGGCAAAGACCTCTCCCATGATCTGCCAGTAAACCCGGTCATGTGCTTTCTGCTGTTGCATTATACCTGCAAACTTTGTAATTTTATCGGCCCACCCAACTACCCTAAATGACCAGCGGTCATCCCTTAACAACCAGCGGTTTTCCTGCCTATGCACTATGTGCCCGGCCCATGTCCATTTCTTCTTCTTGATTTCAACTATGTGATATCCTTAACCCTGGTTTATTCCCTGATCCACTCTGCTCTCTTATTGTCTCTTACACCTATCATTTTTCTTTCCATCGCTCGCAGCGTCGACCTCAATTTAAGATGAACGCTCTTGGTGAGAGTGCAGGTTTTCGCTCTGTAGGTAAGTACCGACAATATTCAGCTGTTATATACTTTCCTCTAGAAGGTTAGCGATAGATTACCATTCATAATTTGAGAATTCTTGCCGAATGTTACCCATCCCGTCCTTATTCTTCTCATCACTCTCATAGTTCGGCTCCACAGTTACTGTCTTAAGTAGACATATTCCTTGCAACGTCTAGGGTCTCCATCTGTCACAATTTATTGATAGATATGTGGGGTTTAACGTCTCAAAACCACCATATGACTATGAGAGATGCCGTAGTGGAGGGCTCCAGAAATTTCGACCACCTGGAGTTCTTTAACAAGCACCCAAATCATCTGAGCACACGAGCCTACAAAATTTTCGCCTCCCATCAAAAATGCAGTCGCCGCAGCCTGGATTCGAACCCGCGACCTGCGGGTCAGCAGTCGGGTACCTTAGCCACTAGACCACTGTGGCGGGACCCACCTATTGCAAAGCTCTGTTTTCTTCCGAGACTGTTGCACTTCATTTTAATTTTATGCATATTAATTTCACGACCTACTCTCCTGCTTTCTGTGACCAGTTCAGTGTTCATAAGCTGTAATACGTCCCCTGAGTTACTCGTCAAGACATGCCATTGGAAAATTGCATGTTACTAAGACACTCTCCATGAACTCTTATTCATAACTCTTCCCAATCTAGGGCTCTGAAAACCTCCTGTAAACATGCAGTGAATAGCATTGGAGAGATCGTGTCTCCCTGCCTTACACCCTTCGTTATTGGGATTCTGTCACTTTATATATGAAGAACTATGGTGGCTGTGAATCCGCTGTAGATTTCATCCAGTATGTTTAAGTAGTGTTCGTCGATGCCCTGATTCCTTAGTGCCTGCATGACTGCTGATGTCTCTACAGAGTCAAACATCTTCTCGTAATCCATGAAGGCTATGGAAAGGGCAGTAAAGCTTTCCCTTGGGCTAGCTGGTGCATTCTTGAACACATATTTGGGTTGTGCAAAAAGTGTCCTGGGTACTCTCCTTCATCCATGTTTTTTCGTGCAACCCAAATATGCATTCGTGTAGAGAGGTTGCTTATATTCCTCGTATTTCTCTATCACCTGATTGATGGTATGAATATAGTCTATTGTGAAGTAGCCTGTACAAAACCCTGCTTGGTCCTTTGGTTGATTGTACTCTAATGCCGCTAATTCTATTACTATTATTTTTGTAAATAGTTCGTAAAGGACAAACAGTAAGCTGATCGGCCTGTATATTTTTCCAAGTACTTGACGTCTCCTTTCTTATGGATTAAGGTGATGTTGGCATTCCTCCAAGATTCTGGTACTCTTCTAGTCAAAAGACACTTCGTATATAATGTGGCCAGTTTTTCTAAAACAATCTCTCTACCACCTTTCAACAGGTCTGTTGTTACCTTACCCTCACCAGTGGCTTTGCCTCTTTGCATTCTTCTAGGGCTTTAGTTACTTCCCCAGTCATTACAGGTAGAATGTCGAATTCTCCATCATCGTCTGTTCGTACTGCAATCACCACACCGCAGTGAAAAACAATGAACATTGGCTGAACCCTGCAACACTTTTTCGACATGGTCAGAAAATTCTGCTGATAGGTAGTCTAGGCTCCAGAGAACATGCATGCCATACATTACAGTGCGGCGGCACGCTGTCTGGAATTCACCATTAATTCACGAAGTCAGCGAGAAATGGCTCCCTCTTTTATCTACAAATGACACCACATGCCCAAATTATTGTGCAATATTCCCAAAGTCGTCAGCCATTGGCTGATTTGAGCATTGTGAGCTGCGTAGTTATAGTGGTTCCCGTGAGACGCCAAAACCTGTCTGCACACGCTTGCAACCACAGTGAAAGCAAGCCACACGTTCAAAAAAAAGAAAAGAAAGTGCTCAAAATCATGATGCACACTGACAAAAGAACACATCTTCTTGGGCCCCTTGTCATCCCCCTCCCTGCATACCTTTCCGTATGCAGAGAGGGGGATGATAAGATCACTGGTACAAAAAGGGAAGAAAGTGCTTAAAGGGCCCTGAAACACTTTTTCAAGTAACCATGTAATGAATTCACCGCAAGAGCTTGTTGCCTCACAAATTCTATGCCGCAAAAATTTTAAGAATCCGTCCAGTACAAGTGAAGTTACAAAGATTTGTCGCTTGCTGCAGCTGCATTCTCTCTTCTCTCGTCCCTACGAAAGCGCTAGAAGCTAAGCAGGGAGGGATGGCAGGCACAAAGAAAAACGTTACGCACGCCTCGTGACCTTGAACACTTCTTTATTTTTTTTCTTCGAATGCACGGCTTTTTCAGTGTGATCGCGCACACGTGGACAAGTCGCGGCCTCTTGCGGCGATCTATGTAACGACCAAAGCGCGCAATGCTCGAGTCAGCCAATGGCTGATAAATGGGCGTTCTAAGAGTGATTTTTGAGCATCTTTTGTCATTTGTCGAGAGAAGAGAAAGCAATTTTTAGCTGACTTCGATAATTTATGGTAAATTCCAGGCCATGCGCTTCGCTATAATATTTGGCTCGCGTGTTGTCGGAAGCCTCTACTACCGATCGGCAGCGTTTTCTGACCATGCTTAAAAAGTGTTGCAGGGACCCTTTAAAGCATGTGGCTAATCCCTGTAACTCCACTAATACTTAGATTCTAAACTTTTTTGTGGCAGTTGATTCATGAGATAATAAACTCTTTTAAAGAAGATATTAGACAATTACTTGAAAAAGTGTGGCAAGGCCACTTTAAACATATACTGCTGTCACTAAGGCACCTAAGTAAATCTAGAGACAGTGATATTCTTTTATCTTGCCGTCTGAGTACTCCAGTGAGTGCAGGCAACGTCGTCTGTTCGTCAGTATTTGAGCAAAGCCCTGTGTATTTCCAGCCGACTCTGATTTCTTGATACAAATCTAAATTTTTTTCCATAGAAATGAAATCCATGGAGAGAAGCCAGGATGCAAACAAAATTTCAGTAGTCCCCTGAATTCTTAGTTTTTCCCATAAACTTATGAAGGTGGCAGCTAAGTATGGTGTCAAAGTAGTTTTCTTGGTAAAAAACAAAGGACTAAAAGGTGTGTGTCCTGCTGTAAATACATAATCTATACGAAGACAGTGGTAAAGATATAGGTATAAAAATGTTCCAAGTGTCCTGATCACCAAGTGGTTGAGTGCAAAAAAAAATGTAGTTCATAACATTCCCCTCAAATGTGGCCATTGTTATGTTGGTCAAATGAGCCGATGCTTGAATGCAAGGTTTAAAAAGCACTTGGCCTATTTGAAGGGAAAGCCGGAAACACATGCAGCAATACATAAGGCACGCTCTTCTTCAAATTCGTGTAGTTTTTTGTTTAATCAAACTGATTTTCGTATTTTCATCCTAATCAGACAACAAGAGCGATTGTGGAAGCTTGGCATATCTCTAGATTTCAAGGCATATGTGTCAGTCCAGTGTCATCCACAGCGCTGAATGACAACAAAGTTTACTTGCTAAACGAGATGTGATACTGAAAAGTCTTTGTTCAAGGTTTTATTTGTTTATGTAAAAAAAATATACTATACCATTCGGCTCATGCACAGTGATCATGAGGTGCTGTAACTAACTGTAACTAACTAACTAACTAATATATATATATATATATATATATATATATATATATATATATATATATATATATATATATATATATATATATATATATATATATGTGTGTGTGTGTAAGGGAAAGAAGTGTATACCTAAGGGCTCGTTTTTCTGTGTTTTAACACAATATTAATGAGATCTAACAGACAGTAATGCCAAGGAATGTACAGGGGAAGTTATTAGAACCAATGGAATGTAAATAAGAAGAAAGAAAAGTGGATGAAAAAATAACCAGCCGTGAGTAGGAATCGAACCTACGACCTTCGAATAACGCGTTCGATGCTCTAACCACTGAGCTACCACAGCGACCTTCCCTCCATCCACTTTTTTTGGGTTTATATGTGAATGGTGTGTTTAGGTTGTATAAGAGGGACAATTAATCAGCTGCCCGCTCATAATAAGTTCACGTGCTACGTGACGCCAAACATGCGCATAAGAGTGTTTTCACACTCGTCGTTTGGCTTATAGATGGCGCTGACTGTCACTCCTACTTCTAAATTCACATATAAACCCAAAAAAAGTGGATGGAGGAAAGGTCACTGTGGTAGCTCAGTGGTTAGAGCATCGAACGCATTATTCGAAGGTCGTAGGTTCGATTCCTGCTCACGGCTGGTTATTTTTTCATCCACTTTTCTTTCTTCTTATTTATATTCCATTGGTTCTAATAACTTCCCCTGTACATTCCTTGGCATTACTGTCTGTTAGATCTCATATATATATATATATATATATATATATATATATATATATATATATATATATATATATATATATATATGAGATATAACAGACAATAATGCCAAGGAATGTATAGGGGAAGTTATTGGATCCAATGTAATGTAAAAATAAGAAGAAAGAAAGTGGGTGAAAAAATAACTTGCCGTGAAAAGCAATCGAACTTATGACCTTGATATTGTGTCACCTACGATATTGTGTCAAAACACGGAAAAACGAGCCCTTAGGTATACACCTCTTTGCCTTTTATATATATATATATTGGGGGCATTCATTATGCGTTTCTCATATATGCATTATCATAATCATCCGTCTGAGTCCCTGTCCTCATCTTCACTGGGGGTCACTACAATCATCATCGGGTGTGTGCACGCTCGGTCTCAGACTGCCCGTTCGATGCTGAGCCCTTGGGCCGAATAAACGCTGTCTCAACCCAGACGTCATAATATATATATATATATATATATATACATATATATATATATATATATATATATATATATATATATATTGTGTTTTCTTTTAGAATAAAGGTCAGTTGATAGTCTGCCCTGGTCCTTGAGAGGCTTTCATTTGTGTCTTCATGTTGTGTGCGCAAAATCTTCATTATGCAACCAAACCAACAGACCCACCTTTTAGTTTAATTTTATATATGTGCATTAAACGTGGAAGCGTCAGTCAGCGCAGCCTGTTTCCATTATGACGAGCATGAAAAACTCTTTCAAGCAAGTTGATGTCTACTTGTCTTTCTCCGTATTTACTTTACAATAACTTCTAATAACTTACCCGATACTTTCCTTGGCAACATTGTCTGTTAGTTCTCACTAATATTGTGTTTAATAAAAAATGAGCCCTTTAATTTACACTTCATTCCTTTACCCTACATTAGTCTCCTGTGCTTATACAGCCTCCTATATTAACATTGGCCCTAAAATACATTTATATCTAAGCTGTGTTAGTTGATGAATAAATTCCAATGGCTGGTTGCCTACCTAGTGTGAGTGTTGAAATAACAATCCTTGTCATTGTCAAATGCTTTTCTTATATTATCTATTCTGACTATTCATTAATCACACAGCATACAAGCATATACACTCAAACCGCGATATAACAAACCCAAATATAACGAAATATCTGTCATAATAAAGAAAATGAAAAATAGTCTTGCAATAGATGTAGTGTTAGGAATAAACTTTTATACCAAATTTTCGGGTATAAGGAACTTACTTTCGTGCAAGATGCAACTTCGTTATAAGGTTTGAGTGTACAAGTGCATGTGTGCAAACTCAATTATTTAATTATGTTGCGGCAGAAACCAACATTCAGCTCTTACCTCTTTAGCTGATCTATCCAGGTGAAGCTGCAGATCCATGGCAAGCAAAGCCTTTGACTGAGCCTGGAAATGATAGCAGTGCTAAAGACTTTAGTTGGGTGATGCTGTTTTGAAATAATTCTAATGCAAAACTTGAATTTGAAAAAGTAATTAAACTTTTTTGTTCTTTCTTTCTTTTTTGTTGACTCACTATATTTCTACTGGAGCTGTGCAAATATCAAAATTTTGGGTGCAAAGCAGACTCGAATACTGAAGAACGAGTGCGAGTCGAATTGAAATAAAATATTTTTCAAATACTTCGAAGTGAAATTGCAGAACGAAAATTGGAGGGGATCCCTAAGCATATTCTTAAGAGACAGCAACATAAAAGCGTTCCTTTTGGCTAGGTTAATGAAGTGCTGGTGAGATAGTTTTTCATAGTTGTTTTATTGAGAATGAGGCAATGTAGAGACCAAACTGTATTTAAGTACATGATTGGGCACAACCGAAATGTTGCCAACACTTTACATGGGAAAGGCAAAGATGTTATTTCCTCAACCTCTCCTCCTCTTTCAACTTCTGTGGAAGCTCAATTGATGTGGCAGACAAGCGTGTACTACCTGCAATTTCAGAGTTAGTCTGCCTTGTAAATGTCAATATAGTTAAACCTGCATATGACAAATTTGATAAATTCCTGGAAAAATTCGTTATAAAGAGGATTTTGTTATATGCAGGATTGGTACCAAAATTTGGAAATTAAATGCACAAATTAAACAGAAGGAAGACTGAAGACAGAGCTAACCCGAAACACTTATTTAGCATAAAAAACTGTATTACTATTGCGATAGCAATTACATGGACATTCTCGACGGGCTTTTGCCGTCACCACCATGTTTCGTAACAAGACTAAATCGATAACATGCCCTCGCACATCGTAAGTTCTTTCACGAGCGGTAAAAGCGAGCGCAGAGATCAAATGAGTCGGCTCATCTTCATCGCCTGGAAGGTGCAGAAGATAACATCCCCCGCATGTTAGAGCTGATGTCGAGTGCTCAAACTGATAGGAAACCACCTGTCCTGAACGAGCATGAAATAATGCGAGGGAGGGAGGGGGGATCGCTTGAGTAGCATTAATAAACTTTGATTTTAAGGGCGGTCGCGATCCTTGGCATGCTTGCTATCTCGGTAAATATCAGTGCGCTTTCAGAGTGAAGGGACTGTGTGAACGTTCCTGGAGCGGCTGTGTTTTGCTCACACCAGCGTTTCGCAGGAGTTCCACGATATCGGATCAGAAAGAGTCGACTGAGAGCCTTACTTCGTATAAAATTACAATTTTGTGCCGTCGTGTTCATTGCATTGCATTAAACACCGTTGTGTTGTTGCCAGAAATAATCGTCTAATCACAAAAGCTACAAGCCTGCGAACTCGCGGCGTGGCGCAAGACGGAAGTGCATGACGAGTCGACCTTTGAAGATCTGTCATCACCGTGGTCTTGGAGAGTTTCTATCAGCGCCTACTTTCACATCCCCTTGGTGGTGACGACACAGTTGTCTGCATTAAAAAAAAAAAAGCTTCCCCCCCCAAAAAAAGAAGAAAAAGCAAAGCTGAACATCGTCGGGAGCCACACCATGCACGCATGTACAGCAACGAAAACAAAGAGCGAACGACACGGACACAGGCACAGATACCACAAAAAACTATTTGGTGCAGTGACCTCCATGAGTAGTGCGGCCCCACATATGTTACGCTAACTAAAAGCGTGGCACTACCAATGCAAAAGTAGTTTTTTTTTCTCGTTTTTGCTTTGGAGAGAGAAGGAAGACATCCGCACATGCGCCTGCGGTGGCAACAACAGTGGCAATACTGGCTTGTGGAGCACAGGTCTGCCTCGCGCTTACCCGTGCGCAGTTATGAGTGCTCGCTCTTGGCTGCTGCACAGTGCGCGTCTGCGGCGGCGGTGGGGCACCCGGAAGATGCATGCTTGTACCATAACACAGGTCAAAATTACTACATTACCCGTGGGGAAAACCCTCAGCGTCTGATTTTCTAGACTTTTTATGAAACAATTTCAGGTACAAAAGAGCATTAATTGGGCCCCCATCTCTGCCACATCCATCATCTTCATGCCGGAACCAGATTTTTTTCAAGTCAATAAATTTGCGACTGTAGCACGCCTGAAAGGAAGCTTTACCATAATATGACATTGTAATGCGGTGAAGCATATTAAATATGTGAAGGGAGTACTTGCAATAGGATTTTGAATGTATTTGCTATCGGGAAGTTCGAATTATAAAATACCAGTGTGAATAAAATCAAATAGCCAACACTATTAAAAAATATTTGAAATTTTGAATATTTGCACATTCCTAATTTATAAGTGGGGCTCACAAGCATTTCTTTACTGATATCTTCGGTTAGTGTTACAAGAGGTAGAGCGTACTCATGATCAGAAAAAGTGAAAAAATTACAAGGGAGAAAAATTATGCACTTGAAAAGTTGACAAACAAAAAGGGAGAAATGACTTCCATGTGACACACTAGGAATGTAAAAGCATAGATGAAAAACTAGCACCGGTATGACCTCAATGCTGGTTATTGATGCTCTTTAACCAGTATTATCAGGGCTTGCTGCTTTCACAGATTAGTTCATGGAACCTTAGCATGACAAAGAAAGTCTAACAATACTTATAACTAACAGCACAAATATAAAGGGCCCTACAATAATTCCCCAAGTAATCATTGAATGGCTTCTAAAAGGAGTAGTTTGACTCACGAATCGACTGCCACAAAACTTTTTTAGACACCTTCAGGTACAAGCGGATTTAGAGATTTGTCAGACACTGTAGTTGCTTTTTCTCTTCTCTTGTCCTGACAAATGCGCTCAAAGCTAAGCACAAAGGAATCACATGGGAGAAAGAAGTTACGTAAGGTGCTCGTCAGGACCTTGAGAACATAGTTTTTTTCCTTTGAATGTGTGGCTTACTTTCAGTAATTGTGTGAGTGCGCAGGCCTGTGGCAACTTCCCGTGGCAGCCACAGTAAGTATGTAAATCACAAAGCTGAAATGAGGCAACAGCCATGAAATTTAGTATATGGCACGATAGTTTGGATATATGGCATCATTTGTAGAAAGAACAAGGAACACTTTCTAGTTGACTTTGAGAAATGCGTGTAAATTCCAGGCCACCTGCTGCACTATAATGCGTGATCCTCATGTCTTCAGGAGCTTCGACAACCGATTGGCAGCGTTTTATGAGTATGCTGAAAAAGTGTGGCAAAAGTGTTTGTTGAAAAAGTGAGCCTTAATGCTGTCATCTCTCACAGAGTGTGTGTCTACATGATCACTCTTAACCACTAACATGCGTTTGGAAGTGGTAAGGATTTCCCAGCCTTGTCGATACTTAGCAATACGTACCACAAGAATCGTGAAGATTGTTCAATCAGAACTATGGTGTCAAGACAGGACGTGTTTCGAGTTACCACCTTCTCAATTTCTCAATGCACATTAAGGTGCATCAAAATAGATTATCCGATCAGCTAAGATGCAGTGCAGCAGTAGCGACAGTAGGTCAGTGAAACAAATGGGTTTAAAACCCGTGTAGCTGGTTTAGCTCTCGGAAAAAGGAATAGGCTTTACCTGGAAAGACAATTTATATTAGTGGTTGGTTTTTAATTTCCAGGTGTTCAAAGTCCAGCATTCTTACTGACCTTTTCGCTTTCTGTGCCTGTTTATTATTTTTCTCATATTACTCCAGAAATGCACCAAAACAGACAAACAAGCATGCCATTGAGCATGCACTCCTGCCTCATTATGATATGCTATTATCAGCTAAGCTTTTACAGTTGCAATGACAAGCCAATGTTACTGCTGTTTCTAATATGTGGGATGATCCCGAGTGCTTTATTAATGATACTATGTTACATGAAAAGGCCATACCTGTCAACCTGGCAATTCGTAAAACCACCCATGTGGGGAAGGGGGGCGGGGATACTGACTTTTTTTAAACTTGTAGCTGTAATGAATTTGCCTTTAGCGCAAAGCATAATGATGTTTTGCCGCCATAAGTCAAATCGACGCACTTAATTACTTCCCCCATTTTTGGCACCAAAAAGAAAAACAAACAAAAAACATCGCGAAAAACAAGGAGGGGGGTGGGGTGTGTTCTAAACGCATGCACAAACATCGGCGTTGCGGTCTCATAATGGCTTGAAGTGGCCGAACACACGAGGGTAGGGTTTTCCACTAAGGTGAGGGTCTCAAAGGGGGAGTGCAAATGCTCCTGAAATTTCGTGTCATCAAAACAACTAGCTGAAAATTCGATTTCCGTCAAAACAACATGAACAGACGGGACGGCATAGCTGGCTGCCGCGAAAGCGCAGGTCAAAGCTTTGGCTTTGCTCACTACTAGATTCTTTGGACAGACATGCCAAAACGCTTCTAGCCTTTTTTACGTCTTTACTGCCTTTAATCTATCACTGTGTCAGCCACGTGCCCTCGGAGCTCATGGATCGGTATCGCATCGCCGTGATGGCGGTTTTGTGTGCGGCGGTTGTGGCAAACGGTAGTTTTGTTTTCAATGCATGTGCCTTCAAAACTAAGCTGTTTTATGCTATCAATGATAGCAACTGCCGTGGTTTTGTGCACAGAGTTTGCGGAAACCAGTTTTGCTTTGACTGGTCGAGCGTTCGCCAGGCGCACGATTCTGGAGTTCTGCCAGTAACGTTGTCGCCATACATGATCGTGTCAAACGACCACGGTTTCGTCCACAGCGGTTGTGGCAACGACAACCACACGCACTGTAGAAAACAGTGCATGAACTGGTTGCATGCATACTTCCGAAGTTTCGAGCACGCTGTTCTTGATTGGCCCTCGTTCTACGGTTTCAGTATTAAAGTTAATATCACACGCCGCGATCAGGAAAAGTGTTCGGTACATTCGAATTTTGGCCCAATGAACACATGAATTCGGCTGGGGAATTCCACAAATTAGTATCTTCCGTCGTTTCGCATCACTGAGACTCTACTATACATTTAGATAAACGCCTCTCAAATGCGCTTATAATGAAATGCAGTGAGCTCGCAAAAAGCCTAGAATGGACTGACCTGCTTTTTTGTCAATGCGACCAGATCTCGTCCACAAATTTGGATTTCCAAGAGATTTTCATGGCAACCGTACAAACGGAAGAAACGGTAGAAATCCAGGAGTCTCCCGGACAATGCGGGAGACTTGGCAGGTATGTGAGGATGATAACACCAATACATATTGTTCTCTTCTGGTGGCGGAATGTAGCACAACGCCGCTTTTGTGGCCTCTGCCACTAGCTATGGCAATGTGCCGTAGCCAATCGCGGAGGCCACACTATTTTACTAATTTTGATTTTTTTAATCGGAAATGAAATATTATTTGTAACATTTCAGGCAGGATTCGTAAAATCGTAAGCGTGGTCAAAATTCGTACATTTTGCAGGAAAATCGGAAGAATTGGTAGGCATGAAAGGCTGACTTGTTTGCACGCCGAATGTTCATACAAAGCATCTGTTGCTGCATGCAGAGCTTTAGAACATAACATGTTTTAAAGTGTCTTGTGTGTGAGTGCACACAGGCAAACATTTTTCCAAAGTGATAGAGCTCAAGGATATCTGTCAAATTATGATTAATTAATTTGCCTGTCATTCTAACCATGGCTCTTGTTGGATGTTTATGGCTTTTTCATAAATAATCAAGATGTATTTGCTCCTTTAGGCCATTTGTGTACTGATGAACCTATTAGATAGATGACTCAATAACCCTACTTTTGTTTTGCCCTTTTGTTAAGTTTGCCAGTATGAGTTACCCTGGCTCTCATAGCATTTTTTCACTAGCACTAAAGGAAAAGACATACCTCTTCTAATGCCAATGTCAGATGTTCCCTTAGACAGCAGAGCTCCAGGTCCCTTTTCTCGTTTCCACTTGGTATACATGTCTGAAATAGAAGCAAAAGGAAGTTGCACAATGCTTAACATAAAAGCTTTAACCATGGCTTCCAGGACTACTGATAGAAGTCTATGTGCTCAATTTCATCACAAGTGCACAACAGCAAAGAAATTATTCCAACAGTATAATCCAACATTTTAGCAGTCATAATCCTGCAATCTTACACAAAGGGCAACAAGGCATGGAAGTGTGCATATTCATGTTTTCTCGCTACATGTAACGTGATCTTACAAAGTGTAAAAGCAGTAGAGTTGTACAATAGGTATTGGAGGTATTTTTGTGCTATAATATATCCCAAATATTTGATAGATATAAAGATGCTCAGTGGCCTGCGTATCAAACTGTAGGAGCAGAGGCCCTTTGTCAGGCTGCATAGCCTTTAGTCTCTGCTTCTGCAAGTTTTTTCAGGGCAAATAAAAAAAATTCAAATTTCAATTTCAGACCCTTTTATAAGCAAATTGAGTAAGAGTAACAATGACCCAATCAAAACTAATACAAAAATTGCCACAAATTCAGTAAATTAACAAATTAGCAAGAAACATTGTAACACTCAAACAAATGGAAAGTATGAATGACAGGACGTTGGATTACTGTTATCAGTGTAGAAGAGCCCACATGCTAAATATAATGACTTTCTTTCATGTGTTGTTATTTTTCTTTTTTGCTTCGCTGTTGTTCTAATACTGGCATTACTGTACCTAGAGTAGTTTTAAAGGAGCACTGACATCAAAATTCAGAATCTAAATGTGCCTCTCATTCGATTGCTCAGTATGCGTAGGCCCTCTTAGCTTAATTTGAATCGCATCCGTCATTTTATTTGTCATGTCAGTTTATTTCGACGGCAAACAGCATACGAAAGCTCAGCAGAAAATAGAGTGCCCTGAGACATCGACACTAGTGCTGCGTGTTTGATGTGATACACATCACACAAACCATCTCGAGTGACTACACAAACCATTCTGAGTAACTATGCGCTAGTAGCGATGATGTCTATGATCAAAGTGTTTTTATTGTGGTGCCGACTGGCGCCGAAGCCTGGAAACGTTTTTCGTGAAACCACAAAACGTAAAGCACCTATAAAAGAATGGCAAAAAAAAGAGCATGATTCAATGAGTGTTCTTCAGCCAGCATTTCCGGGAACCGTTGTGAGCTGCAGTCGTCTGGTTGGAAGCGCACATGAGCGCGTCTTTTCATTGCACGTATGTTATACGCATACACGACCAAAAGCTATCAGAATGGAGTAGCGTAGCGATAAATGACATTGCTAACAAGTGACATGCAGGTGTCGTTAATGGTGATTTTTAGTTCGTTCGTAGGCTTCTTTCCATCCGCGTAATACCGGCTACTACCGTCGCAACCGTGAGAGGCTAAATAGGTAGAGCTATCTAGAGGTGCAAAGAAAAACCTGGCAAGCAGAGAATGTATTCTATTTGTCCACTGGTGTGCATTGCCTGTGCAGATATTTCATTGACCCCTTCGCATATACCCGATCGCTGTGCACACCAAAACTCCCCAATGTAGCTAATTGAGACCCACTAGCGAGCATGGCTAAAGCATGCATCCTTGGGCACCTTCTCATTGCTGCTTGGAACAGTGTTCATTTTGGAATCGCTGTTCTGTAAAGGGTCGATCGAAGCAAATATTATTCGCGACGTCACGAATCGCGGCGATTACAAGCTCCAGACTTGTATTCAACCCTAGTCGGCACTTAGTAAAGTGACGACGGCAATGTATCCGACAGGGTATGACAACATGTGTGCCTATCAGCCGAAATGTTTGCGGAGCAGCTGAGCCTCACGTCACTCTTTTCCATGGAAAAGTGGTCAGCTGTGGCATGATCTGGCAGCGGCCTCGAGGAAGCGCTCCCAGCACTAAAAATGGTGGGCTTGCAGACCTTTTTGGATCATGCTAAATACCAGTGATATAAATCAAAAGTGATAGTTATTCGTCCCTTAGTTGCGTTTTAATTTGTGAATTGCTACTAGGGGGTCGATAGCTACTTGTTGATGCAAGAATATTGACATGAGTAAATTTGACGGCAGGGCTCCTCTAAATGAACAAATTTTAATTAATTTTCACTGCATTGTTGATCAACTGTACTAAGTAAGATACGTTACAACATGTAGCTGAGCAAAGCATGTTTTGTGCATATTCACTATTTCAAATGAGTATTTCATTACTATAATTACATCTTCATTTGATGAGTACCTTAACAAATAGAAACTTTTGACTCGTAAAACAGTTATTAGTATTTAGTTTAAGCATTAGATCTGGTGTATAGCAGCTGCTTGCTCCAAATGTCAAGTTTGCTGAATCACTGTGTATGAATGCAGAGTTGTAGAGTATCTTCACAAACCACTTATTGAATTGGTTTCTGTACAATACAACTTGCATAGTCCTTTATTCTGAGTTAAAAAAAATATCGCAAAGTATACAAAAAAAGCGTCTGACTGCTGGCACACTGCTCTTGTGCTGCTCTTTAGCATACAATTGGTGAACCAGATCACCTGCGGTAATTTTTGGGCCCTTCATCACCTTAGCAGCGCTTGGCCAACAGTACGCATTTGCACTGTAATTCCAAAGGTAATGGGCCCAAGTGTGGGCCACCATCTAAACACTTTGCCACTTTGCAGTGGCCCTTCATCACCTTAGCAGCGCTTGGCCAACAGTACGCATTTGCACTGTAATTCCAAAGGTAATGGGCCCAAGTGTGGGCCACCATCTAAACACTTTGCCACTTTGCGGTGGCCACACACAAGCTACAGGTGACCTTGTTCACAGATTTCACCCTTGAGAGCAGTGCAGTAAACCAGTGCTGTCACATGGCTTGTTCCATACTTTCAGACTTTCTTTCCAATGGGCAAAAACGACTATGTGAAACATACTGTAAATGAAACAATTTAATCAGTAGTTTTTGAAGGTTCTCTACAACTCTGCATTTAGACTTTGGGACCTCGGCCAAAATTAAAAAGTTGGTAATTATAAATATTATTTGAATTGCACACACGGATACACAAGGACACAGAAGAAAGAGGGAGAGAGAAAGCTGGCAACTGCCACCTGGAGGGGCACAAGGCCTGCTTACTCTTTCGGGAGGAGGGAAGAGATAGAGGAAAAAATGGTGGGAGGGGAAAAAAAGGAAAGAAAAGAGGGAAGTAAAGAAAAAAATGACGAAAACTTAGACAAGCATAAGTAAATTAGAAGAAAAAAGTTGGTTAAGTAAACATAACGAATTAATGAGTTGACGGGCAAACAAATAGTCTTCAAAACTAAAGGCTTCTGCGAGTAGTATGCATTTGGTTCAATTGACGTATGATGCGGCTTTCATTTTTAATGTCTTGGACCAAATTACATGGTACAACCTGTATTTAACGTGTTTCATGTAAAAACTATGAAGGATTTAAAAAGTGGTTGACGGCTACTGAATCAAACCAATGACATATTGTTTGCCAAAATTTTAAGCATGCTTCATTAGTTAATTACTATGATCAATTATGCAAAACTATTAATGTCTACTTTAGAGCTATGGGTTTCGTTCAGCTATACAGGGCATTCGAAAATGAGACCAAACCATTTTTTTTTTTTTTTTGTGGCATTGTACATATGGAGGGTCAATTTTTTCTAGTGTTTTTAGAAAGACCACAAAATATGAAGTAAAACCATGTGGCTGTGTTCATGTGCTACTTTATTGCAGAACTTTAAACCGTGCTTCGAGCGAAAGAACCATTTACACAGTATGTCAGCCCATCACTTATCAGGGATGCTGGCACAGCCTTGCCGTGTGCAGTTGTGAAAAATGCTGCTGTACTGTGAAGCCAGTGCCTAGTGACACGGCCACTCATTTCTCCCTAGCCCCCGTGCCCAGTCGCTCTACTCAAAGCATGGTTGAAAGCACAATGCAGTATTGCATGAGCACGGTCACATGATTTTATTTCATATATCGTGAGCTATCTTTTACCTTTTACTGTCGATTGTCGTAAATTTGCGACATAACGAAGAGATGCTGACCAAGCAGCTCTTGAAACACCTACTGGCTTCAATGCCAGCTGTTATATTCTCACGGCGAACATGGCTTTCAGCACGAGACATCTCCTACTATCTCATGTGAGGTATACCAAGCCGGAGGCCATTGTTGTGTATCAGGAAAATGCAAAGCATGTGCAACAGCTCTCACGTCTTTGTTTTCTGCCCGAGTGATGCATGTTCAATCTCCTACAAAAAATTTTCAGTGTTGATAAATCCAAGAAGTTGCACACATGTTACGTCCTCTTGAAGTAGGTTTTTTTGTTGCATGATCCTCGCTTACATGATATGTCACGAATTCACGACATTTGGCATTTCAGTCAGTCAATGGTGACTATCGGTATTATTGGCATATGAAGGACGTCTGCTCACTTTATAGGAAAAAAAAAAAAGGGGCGGGGCTCCACACACACTTGCCGCCTGAATATAAATGAGACAGCTGTTTCAGTGAGAGCAAAGATGACGATATCTGTCCTGATCCTCATGCACAAGCACGAGTGTCTTCAACGAGCAGTGAGAATAAAGACCAAGATGCGGTAGATCAACCAAGTGCCTCTCCAAAACATGCAGTGTGATTGAGGGGGGTGGGGGTGGGAGGGGACCTTTTAAGAACAGTAGGAAATATCACACTGGAAAACTGCCTTCCTCAATGTGACACTCCGAGCTCCTTTGGATACAAGTGTTCGAGCTCCCATTGAATATTTCAATACTTCAAGGATTTTTTTTTCTATGACACCATGGATCATGTCGATGAGCAGAGCAATCTGTTTGCAATATAGAAAAATACTTACAAAGAACTGGCTCCATCTCATAATGAGCTAGATAAATTTCTGGGTTTCTGGGCACAATTAAATTCATGTCACTCAGCCGGCTCCCAAAAAGTCAGCTACACCGATTCCTGGGAAAGGATGTTTTTCTGCGGATCATTGAGTGCGGGATTTAGTTGTAGAAGAATAAATGTTTGCCAGGGTCTCCAAGTTTCATCCCCCTGAACAGATCTCCATTATTCGTGCAGTGATGCCATACTTGTGTTGCCTTAAATACATCCCTATAGTAGGCCACATATGAGCTTAAGTGCCGGTTGTCACGAATTCACTATAATTCTAAAGGTATGCAATAAAATTGCATTTTAGATAATATAACTGCAGAATTACATAAAGGTTGCAATTTAAAGATGAAAAACAAAAGCCAAATTTTTTTCTTGGGTGCTTTTAAATACAGGCATTAAAGGGCCAAATGCTGGACAAAGATCACCATGCAGCATGTACACTGTCTCAAAAAAAAAAGTTGGTTTTTTAGAATGCCCTCTGAAATGTAACAAAACGTGCTTGGCTACAACATTAATATGAAATTTTGAATGACAGATCTTAGTTAAACAATTAACCACAACATTAAAAATACTTTAACAACAGCCATATGTTGGAAAACCATATTCAACCGTGTCTACCCTCCATTTTTCTAAAACCCTTCTTAAATTTATTAATTTATTAGTTTGTCACATGAGATGCTCTGTATATAGTGAATGAGATGAAACAATATTAATCTTGCTTTAATGTTAGGCAAAGAGAAAAGGAGAAGGGAGGAAAAGGTTATGTGCACTCTTTTTACAACAAACAAAAAAAGGCTAGAAAAGACTAAAATCACTGCTGAGAAAGTGCCATGCCATGCTGCACTCCATGCTTAATTTTCACTTTTCTTTTCAACTTTCACTACTACAGCCCACTTACTGTGCTGCAAATTTTTTTTTTTTTTTTGCCTTCTGCAGCACCTGCTCACCGAGATTCCATTGGTTTTTAAAATATCTTCACTGCCCGAGTCATTTTAAATAAGTTTAGGAAATGAATGTTCTGCCTTCCTATTCTGTTCCAGTAATCAACCTTACCATAAAATTAATGAAAATAGTGGCAGGCAGGGAAAATGAGTGTTCCACTCTCGTGGTCACGGCGAGTAACGGTGCTGACTTAACACTCCCACATTTAAATGCACATATACAGTGAAACTTCAGTGATACGATCTCATCTCGTACAAATTTTGGAGTGATACAAACTTTTCTGTGGTCCGAGTCAAGGTCCATTAGCATGTAGTCTAATGGAGTGCAGTTGTTGTGAACCCATTTACACCCCCTAAAGTTTGATACGAATGTAAGTTACCGCACATGTACGAGCAAACGCTGTCCGTGCTGTTGTGGGTGGGTGACAGGACAATCACACAGGCACAGCAAACCAAGCATGGGCATGCACACGCACACATGCCAACACTCCCATTTGCACGGGAGGCTTTTGAATTTTGGGCAAACCTCCTGACGAGCAAAAAAAATTACAGCATATCCACGAAGGGAATTGTAAAGAGTGGGGCAAAGCATTCGTCCGTGCATCCGTCTGTTCATCCATGTGTCCATCTGTAACTCACACTAGCGCCAGCTGCTGAGTGAGTCATACAACTAGGTGGTTACGAACCGGTCACAGAAATGCATAGACAGACCCACGGCTTTAGGAGCTTTGCCCCTAAAAGCTTTCTAGAATTCGGGAGGAGCTACTAGCAGTGACGGGTCACAACACATCATGTTCATGATTTCACACGCTTGCACAGGCCATATATCCTTGACAATTGAAAACTTCATTCACAATAATTTGGAGCTGTTCATGCTGCAGCCCTGAGAAACAATAAACAAAAACGTGCACCAACTTTCTTTCGTCACCTATTAATTTTCTATATTTTCTGGTGATATGAATTTTTTCGACCGCACGAGATTTGTATCACTGAGGTTTCACTGTGATGATACGTGATTTTTATTGGTGCGAGGGCCATACTTGGCCAAAGAGGGCCACGAAAAATTACATTAAAATAGCTATGATGTGTGGTTTGCAGTGACATGTTGAGAATGTGAACTATAGTGCTGTTACGTGGCTGTATAGGGGCCTAAAACCCCGCGCCCTAGGGCAGGTAAAACATATATTTAAAATCATGAGGGTGACATGAAATGCAGGTAACACGAATTAATGGTGGTGGTCGTTGAATTTATAATGAGCTATATGGCATAAGCACGAATGCCTCATCGATAGCCCTGGTGTCCAAGGGTCACGAGGCAGGTGCTATTTTAATGTTGTAACGCAGCAGCAACTTCTACTCATGGAGGTCGTGCTACGAGGATGCCTAAAAATATGATGTGAAAACTATTTACATCCTTTAAAAATGCAAACAATAACTAAAAAGCGGTTGCCTACCTATGAACATCGATCAGTGCAAGGGCATCATGATGGAAGGAAAATGGAGAGTGTTTTTTTCTAATTGTATCGAATTCCTTGCAGTTTTAAAACATGAAGCATGGCGAGTGGTTCACTGCACTTATCGCATAGAGGTGGATCACCACCAGACAAAAGGTGTGAGTGCGTACTGTATGTATGTCCTATTCTTATTATGGTAAATGTTAATTCTGTGTAACGCGACTTCAATATTGGCGGCCTATTCACAAGATGCTTCTTGAGGAGGCGAAGCTTATTTTGTGGTTGCCTATCTCATAAACGCTGCCAATAATCCCCGAGTTTTTGTTTAAGGAAGGGTTACAGGTCAAACTCAGGGACAGCTATAGATGTATTGACAGTGGCATACTCATAGGTGAAAACAGCTAGTTTATCTGCCAACATGTTTCCTTAAATCTTGCGGTGTCCTGGCACCCAGAGACAAGGGCAGGGTTCGTATGTTTTTTTAGGGTTTTCAGAGATGTTACTACGCTTAGGGAATTGGTATATATCACCGCTTTTGACAGTTTTAATTCTTTGATATGTTCTATGGCCGAGAATATCACATATGCCTCTGTGGTGAAGATGCTCATATTGGGGTGCCGAACACCTACATCGGAAAAGGATAGACCGAGCGCTGCGTAGGACACAAACGAGTCTTTGACGCCTCAGCGAAAGCTTCCGGACATGAATACTCATGCTGGAGTTCAAGAAAGTGTGTATGAGCCTAACAAGAGGACGCTACAAGACATGAAGCAACGGCTTGGATATGCCAGCTGTGCACCACCACAATAACTAGATGTGACGCATCCCAAGGTGGGGTGAATACATGAGATTAACTCTTGCCACCAGAAAAATTCAAAGTAAAAGAAGTGAGGAGAAGACAGGAAAAAAAAGTGAGAGAGAAAGACCAAAAAGCAAGGAGAGAGATAGAAAGAGGCCACTGCTGGTTTGCCCTGGGTGGGTCAGCCCAAGAGTACCGTCTACCTGAAGCTGAGGCCAAAGGGTTGTGTTGCCTCTGCCGGGGAACCTTAAAGTTCCAATCACCCAGCATTAGCTCAACCCCCAAGATCCCCTTTTCCCTGAACACAACTCAGCTACGCATGGCAAGGCATGGAAGGGAGTCGCAACCCCCCACTGGTCCGTGTCCGTGGTGTCGCCACACAACAAACGCCTGCCTGCTAGGGCAGATGCCCCTGTTGAAGAGGTTTCACTGTATATACTCTATACCCTATAAAGTGCACAGGGGGATGACTGCCATTGTAGATAAGTTGGTAGAAAATCCGATGTGTTATTTTAAGGTTGCAGGTTTGGTCCCTGCCAGTGGAAAGTTATCTTTGTCTATTTTACTTTCTTGACATTTGCACTAAAATTACAACAAATAACATCCCTTACACAGTAGACTCTCAATAAACAGAAATCTGCTAAACAGAACTGCTGCTTAAATGAAAAAAGTGCTTCAGGCAGAATTTGTTTTGATCTTGTATTGTGCACCCATAATTCATCTTTCAGTAAATAGAACTCCTGCTAAATGAAACATATTTTTCTGGTCCCTTCAGGTTACATTTAATGAGAGTCTACTGTACTTATCCTGGCTTTCTCATCTGTTAGTTTAAACTAATGTTGTGCTTAGTAAAAAAAAATGAACCCTTAAAACTTCCTTTTCGTTTGTATGCTACAAACTGCTTCTTCCTGGTGCGTTCTTTAAACACAGATCCATGCTACCACCCTCATCACAGCATAAATGTGGCAGTAATTAACAGTCATTATTGGAGCAAAATGTACACTTTCTTACCTCCCACTGAACATCTGTCTGGGTGCTCGTCACTGCCATGGATTTCTTTTCATCTTCAGTTGGCAGCAACACAGCAGATAATGAGGACTTGCCTTCCTCATTCTTTTTCAAAAAGCTTGGCAAGTCCACTTGAGTACCAATGTCTTTTAAAGCTGAAGAAGTTGGAAAGACTCCTGTGCCAAACTCAGCATAATATTCAGTTATAGGTACTGCAACACTGGAGGTCTGGACACCATCTTCAGCACACGATTTCATTTTACCAACCTTCCTTTTCACAGAGAAGTGCTTATAATCGGTATTGTGTTTAGGGGCAAACACTTTTCTGGCTGTCTCAAACACAAGGCGCCGGCGCACATTTCTCGATTTTACTTTGCGCTTGACAGACTTAGGGGCGTCTTGGATGGCCACACTTTCATCCCGAATGGGGAGCACTGCTGAGAGGCTCTCCCTGAAGTTGGTTGCACACTGAGAAAAATGAAGATACACATACAAAAAGCAATGTAATGGCTACCAAAAGGAAACAGCTATAGTACAATGGAAAAGCCTCTAAAGATGAGTTAACAGCACTATGTCGCATCACATCAGTAGATGAAAAATTCATAAACACGGGATGTCGCTGTACTAAACATTTCGACAAGCGAACTCTTCCTCAAGGCAAGAACTTGCAGCAACGTTACAGCCTTGAAGAAGACAAGTATGCTTGTTGAAATGTTGGCTTCAGCAGCTTCCTGTGTTCAAGAATTTTTCATCACATCAAGCTTCCATATTCCCCTAAATTTCTGTCTATGTTTTTTTATATTACTTGCCACACTGAACACTTGCCACACTGCTGCAACAATGCGAACAACCTTCCACTTTGTTATGCAAACTTCACAAGAAGACATCAAAAATGAGGAACATCTTACGCTTTCAATGCTGCTGTCAAGAAACAAATGGCTCATTCCCACTCTGTACCATCTCAGAAAGGAGCCATGCATAGTTTTGAAAAAACTTTCAGAGATGTTTTGTTCTTCTATTTATAGATATGGAAAGCTATTATACAATCCTAGTGTAAGTTTACCCTGGGTTCGACCGTATATAGCATTATTATTCTCTGGGTGGTGGTGCTCATCCAGAAGACAACCATTTACGATTCTTGAAAGTAAGACTTGAACTGTGTGTATATGGGCAGAAAAATGATGAAAGCGTAAAATATAACCACATGAAGTATTCGTGAATACTAAGCTACCTTGATTATCAAATGCAACAAAAGCACAAAATGGTTAAGAAAAATGCGAGACAACAATTAGTTTGAGAATACGGGCCAAAGAGCATGCACCCAGAACACTAGCAAGTAGCAATAGCTTACATGCATCATGTTACAGTTCTTCCTTTATTCTCATTCCTTACATTTCAGTTTTGGCTGCATCTAAAATTTCCAACTATTACCACAATAGGCATCATAAGCTACCACAGTTAGTTGAAATGATTTAAACAAAAATTACCTATTTCTAGAAGCAAGTGCTTGCCTGTCATATTATGCTCTTTGCGACCTGTGTTCACCTTCATAGTCAAGACTTCTTAAGTCGACCTCAGTGAAACAGGGGCTATGGTGCACTGATAACACTGAGTGATGTCAGTGCATGTTAAAGAACACCAGATGGTCGAAATTTCTGGAGCCCTCCACTACGGCATCTCTTATAATAATATGGTGGTTTTGGGATGGAAAAACTCCAGATATCATTAGACCAACTTCAGCGATCTTTAAAGGTCAATGGATCTAAGTAAAATTCGCGAGGTACGCTCCTTCACACATTTACATCATTCATTCCCAATTGCAGGCTGGAGAGACACACAAGTTCTTCAGATATCAACTGGCTTCCCACAATTATCGGCAACATTCTGTGTGTGACAACGTTTACATCAAAGTGATGGAAGTGACGGAACCGAAGTGCTACTACATAGTCTGCTGTTAACAAGACAATGATAGAGTATGTTGTTAAGTAAATGCTTCCTTGGTTCGGCACACAAAATTTGGTTCGTCGAGGGCCTGCGTGCGATGAGCAGCAAATGATGTTGCGTTATGTTTGCGCATGATTTCCCGTAAAATTACTTGAATGTTCACCAAACACTTGGTGGAGCCAATGATTACCTTTCGTCTCAATATTAGAGTGTTATAGCAAGCAGTCCCGGCTTACTTCACGGAAACTGTGGTAATATCTTACCAGCTGAAGAGGGTCTATGAGTGAGAATTACGGTAGTGTACTAAGCATGCAGAATACCATACGAAAACACTTTCTATATTATACATAGCGCACTGTGACCAGGCCTAGCACGTCGTGCCAAAGGTGGCTCATAGTTGGCTTATATTAAATTCCTTCAGTCTTGCCAGGGCGATTTTAAATGCCAATATATCCAAACTTATGCGCTTTTCCTATAGCAATATTAAGAAGTTTTAGTTAGTCCTCAAACTTTTCAAGAATAGCATTTTCAGGGATAGCACCACCTGCGCAACCAGACAACTAAGCAGGTGTGTCATACTTCATTGAAGATAAATGGCGATATTACTTGCCCTCCACAAGCATCCGCATCTCAGCTTTCATTTTTGAACAGCTCCGAGGAGCTTTTGCACATAGTACTGTCAGTCCGACATGGTGCATGTGTTGCGAGGAGTTCAACTTTCCACTGAGCACCTACACTTCACCGCTTTTGCAGCTTTCATAATGTGGGCTGGTGGGACCAGCATGCCTTGCATGATTTCTGATGTTTGCATGCGTTTTGCCAACGCCTACGTCACACAAAGAGAATACTGGTCCGTGAGGTTCTGGTTTCACTGTTGTGCTTTCTTGCTTATTTGAAATTACTACAAACTTCGTCGAGTATTTCTGCCATCAGGCCCCATGACAGGAGAGTCTCAGAAACATAGCTGATTGATATGTGGTGTTTGACCTCCCAAAACCACCATATGATTATGAGAGACGCCGTAGTGAAGGGCTCCAGAAACTTTGACCACCTGGGGCTCTTAACACACCCGAATGTGAACACACAAACCTACAGCATTTTTGCCTCCATCGAAAATGCAGCTGCCGCAGCCGGGATTCGATCCGTGACCTGCGGGTCAGCAGCCAAGTACCTTATCCACTAGAACAATGCGGCGGGGCAAGTCTCAGAAAAATAAAAGCATCATTAATATGACATAATGAAAAAATCACCGGAGTTAGCCTTTAGGCAAGCAAAGAACACTGCTCAGTGTAATTGAAAACTTACCCCTTGGTTGTGCAGAGGAGCCCTTTACCCTTACTAGCATCGCAAGTCAACATTAGCAGCAGGTGTGGAACCGAAGAGACAGTGGGTCGATAATGCCCCTTTCAGATGCTTAAAGGGGTACTGACACAAAAACTTTGGCCTCGTGTTTTATGCTGTAATGTGTTGCTCGGGGCCTGTTTTTAATGACATGACACATTTGTTGCTGCAGCGAATGACAAATAATTAAATACAGGCCCCTCATTATCGGTACGTTTCCGTCTTGGCTTGAGATATCCAAAAACTGGGTGCAATTGTCGCTACCTAGCATGTGCAGCTCTTGACCATGTCAGCACACAGAACTGTGACAAACTTCTGCTCGGTCCGCATCAAGAATTACTTTCAAATAGGAAACGGGACTGTAATGTCGCCAAACACAAAACTTTATAAGCATGCGCCATGGTCACGCACTCGCAACCAGCTGCCGAGATATGTAGACTGCGGGAACAAACGTGGCAAAAAAAAATGGTGGCTATGACGTCATCATAAATTGTTTTGTTGACTGCAGTGTGGTGACGTGAGGGAAGCAGAGGGTCCCCAAAAGGTCCCCTTTGAGGGTGTCAATGACATGATGAAGTCGAGGGCTTACGCAAACTTAAAAATTCTTTTAAGATACTTTCCCAGCTATATTCGCTGTTCATATTTTGCAGATGATATACGAATGTTTCTGTGAATCGACCCCAAAGGCTATCTCTGCCGCCAAATTTTGTTTCAGTGCCTCTTTAAAGCCTTACTGCTTAAAGAGACACTAAAGAGCAAAAAGATTTTTCACATAATAGTAAAGTTATTATAGTTATTAATAAAGTAAAGTTAATAAAGTAAAGTTAATAAGTAAAGTTAATAAAGTAAAGTTAATTATAGTAAGTTTAACAATTCTGAAAACACCCCTTTTACCACGACACGATGCTTGATAAGCAAGAAAACGCGTAAAAAAATTTAAAGGTGAAGACGTCGCCCTGAGATTCTCAAACCAAACAATGTGATGTCATGATTTTGAAAGCATCTACTGGGTCCTACATAGCTTCCAATCGATTAAAATGAAGTACATTGTCATCTGTGGGTACCATAGACCTAGCATACAAAGTTTCAGAAAATTTCGAGCCAATATCGTAAAAATACGAAAAATACATCTTGACGATTTTGACCCGGAGATTTAGGCACGAATTTAAAAATGAAACTTCCACTTCATATTTCCCCGCTAATAATGAACTCATGATTGTAAAATATATGGCATTAGAGTTCTCAGAGTGAACTTTGTCAATCTAAACCAATCCACTGTTTCTCTTTGGTGTCTCTTTGAGGATTCACATCCCCTCCTGTCGTTTGCGCTGTTAAGCACTCTTTATCATGTTATACCAACACGCCCAATCCTACTGTCTCTTAAGTTACATATGTATATTGTTTGCATACAAAGTTGCGTGAAAAAAAGTTATGCCACTGGTCTATCAAAATCATTAAAAAAAATATAGGCACTGAAAATCAGAGTTTGCATTTATCAGCAGTGTTTATGCAATATTTACAACAAAGTCCCCCATTTGTAGACACCCATTCTTACCCTTTCAGAAATTTTCGTCCAATGCTTGTTTTTTTGCTTTTTCTTCTGTGGAACCAGATCAAACAAGATACGGCAAACCTTATCTCTTTTTCTTGCCCGCGTCTTTGTTCAGCAGTGAACGTGCTCAACCGATGAAAAACAACATAACCTATATGCTGTGGAATATTATCATTATCCTAAAAAAAAAAAAAAAAAACTGAGTGATAAACTGCCCTGAACCAAAATTGAAGGAGTCCTGCCCGTTCTTCAAGAAATGATGGCATTAACCTTTTACTAGAGTTAATTTCCTTGAAAATTAATGGCTTCAAAAGATTCTCGAATCTGTCAAGAACAAGTGATATTAGCAGTATTGGTCAAAAGCTCAAGCGCTTTCTCTCATGCTGACATGCACGTTGGAAGCTACACAGGGTAAGATTGCACATGGAAAAAAAAAGAAGTTAAAACTTTCGGCACATGTGCTGAAACATGATCTCTCTCTCCAGTTACGTTTCCTATACACGCTGGTGCAGCTGCTGTGTAATGTTAGCAGGTTTCAGAATTCGGCTCTAACAAGTGGCGGCACCACGTGGCAAGAAACCTCTCACGCCAGGAACCTTTAATCACTTGGGTAAATTAAGGGCCAATTACGTGCTGTTTTTTGCAGTAAAATCTGCCCTTCCTTACCTCTGATTTGACATCTGCACGTGAGGTCTCCCTTTGATCGTCAGTGGGCACCAACAAAGGATGGATATGTGATGAGGCCTTGTTTTTGTCATGCTTGCTGGATACTTTTACTAGAACTTGGTTTTTCATGTCTTCAACCGCCAAAGGAACAGCGCAAGTCTGGGCCTGAACTTCATTATACGATTTCGTTGCTGCCTCATTTCTTTTCGCAGGGCAGGCATTCAAGTGCTTATCATACACATTGTGCTCAGGGGCGGACAGTTTTTTTGCCGAGCCAAAATACAGGTGCCGCCGTACATTTCTCGATTTTACCTTACATGAAGGTAATCGCAGAAAGCTTTCGACCGATTCAGAGATGTCTTGGATGGCTACATTTGTACCGCACCCTGGGAACACGTCGGGGAGGCTCTCACGGAAGACAGTTGTACCCTGAGAAAAAAGAAGATACGCATACAAACAGCAATTTAATGACTACCATAAGAAAACAAGTGCTGCAATAAAGGTTTTTTGGCAAAAGAATGGTGAAAGGCTACAACACAGAGATAACAGCATAATGTGACATAACTACATCGAGTGATATGAGGGAATTATGTATTATTAGAGCAGAGAAGCTAACCACAAGTCACAGTGATAAACAAAGAAATTTCCAAGGGATATTTTAATTGTAACAAAATTAGTAAGACCAATGATGTGCCACTCTTTAGCCACATGAAAAACTCTAGGCCCAAAGCTTTCACACTTGATGGTTTGGAGAAAACCCAACCGCTAATCGAGACTTTTGGCAGTACCTCTACCCTTTCCTACCACCGTACTTTACATGGCATACAAAGAATACATGAGGATATGGGGGGAGGAATTGACATTCTTCCTCTACAGTATGCCTAATCAAGTATTACCGTTTCCTACCACTGGGCTTTGCTTGGCATACAAAGAATAAATGAGGAGACTAGGAGAAGAATTAACATTCTCGCTTTGAAGTATGCCCAAGCAAGTACACTCAAACCTCATTATAACAAAGTTGCATCTTGCACGAAAATAGGTTTGTTGTATTCAAAAATACGTTATAAAGGTTTATATCTAATACCATATCTATTGCAAGACTACTTTTCATTCGCTTTGTTATAACCAACATTTCGTTATATCCCGGTTTATTAAATGGAAGTTTTAATTGTCAGAGGGACATGTTATGCTTCAACATTAAAGGGAATTGATAAGCTCTCTTAAAGGCAGACTTTCAATAACAAATTACATAGGCAACTTATTTTTCCCCTGCTCTACATAATTGCGAACCACACAACCATACTGTATGGCCACTGCTCACTGTATGTTTATCATTGTATAAGCTGTGTTCACGCAAACGAGGTGTGGTATGATGCATTTGCTTTATGTTTTCCTGCAAAAAAAAACACATAATGAAGAGAACAAAAATAATCACTGTGCAATACCTGTGGCTGTTCTTCACAATAAACACTTGCCACACTGCTGCAAGAATATGAACAACCTTCTAGTTTGTCATGCGAATTTCCCGAGAAGACACAGAAAAGGATGGCATGGGAAAAAAAAAGTTACGTCTGTGCATGTTATACCCATCAGCAAGTGTGCTGAAACATGATCACTCTTTCCAGTTTTGATTACTGAGAATGCTGGTGTGGCTACTGAGTAGTGTTGGCTAGCAACAGAGTGTGTTTATAACAACTGGCAGCACCTCTTGGCAAGAAACACGTCTGACCCAAGCACCACTCGTGACTGAATAGCATTCAGTTTATTGTAGCAATATCTGCACTTTCTTACCTTTGATTCTACATCCGTATGAGGGGACTTCCTTTGATCGCCAGTGCACACCAACAAAGGATGGATTTGTGATGAGGTACTGTTTTGGTCATGCTTGCTGGATACATTTAACAGCACTTGGGTATTTATGTCTTCAACAGTAGAAGAAAATGCGCAAGTTGGGGCATGAATTTCACCATACAATTTCGTTGTGGTGCCTTTCCTCTTCACAGTGGAGGCACTCAAGTGCTTATAACGCACACTGTGCTTAGGGGTGGACCGTTTTTTTGCTGTTTCGAAGAGGCGCCGCCGTACATTCCTTGGTTTTACTTTACATAAAGGGGTGCGAAAGCTGCTATCCACGAACTTTGGGGCTTCTTGAACGGCCAACCTTTTATCACCAACTGTGATCATTGCTGGGAGGCTCTCACTGAAGGCGGCTGCACACTGAGAAAAATAAGATACACATACAATAAGCAATTTAATGGCTTCCAAAAGAAAACAATTACAGCAATAGAGGTTTTCTAGGCAGTAAAACTGTGAAAAACTACGATACATACGCTACAGCACTATGAGGCTGATCACATCCAGTGATACGAAGAATTTATGTATAGTTAGCAAAACAGAGAAGCTAACCACAAGTTGCAGTGACAAAAAAGTACAACAGTCAAAGGCTATGATAGATACATTACAGCGTTAGTGGCTAACCATATCAAGAAAGAAATTATATGTTGTCAGCAAAGCAGACAAACTAACCACAATTGCAGTGATAAACAAAAGCAGTTCTAAGGCACATTACGATTGTAACGAAATTAGTAGAGCAGTGCAAATAGCAAAATTCTGTGTGCAAATCAAATTTGAATATTAAAGTGTGAGTTTGAATCGATTATTTTTTTAATACTTCTAGAATATTTTTCAAATAGTTCAAAGCAAAATTGTGGAAGAAAAAAAAAAAACAGCCGGAGAAGATTCCTATGCATATTCGTATGAGATATAGCAACATAGAAGTGTTTCTTTCCGCTAGGTTGATGAACTTAAGCTTGTATTAGCGCGTACATATAAGAAGGAAAGACGACACAGACGTAAAAAAAAGTAGGTAGTCGCTGGCAGGGTAGTTTTTCACATTTGCTCGTTAAAAAGTAGGCAATGCAGAGGCTGCACAGCATTAGTACATTATTTTAGTACAATCAAAGTGTTGCCAACACTTTACACGTGAAAGGCCAGAATGCTAATTCTTCAGCCTCTCCTCTTTCAAATCCTGTGGAAGCCCAACAAATGTGGCAGACAAGGGTGTGCTCGCTTCGAATTAGACTTGTCAAATCTGCCTCGTAGACATCAACATACAAGAACATTGAAATTTTGGATGCTAAAAATTTTTGGCGTCAGATTTTTCACACTTCCTGCCCAAATTTCAGGTCAAAAACAGCATTAATTAAGCCCCCACCTCTTTCTTACCACATCTATCATCTACATGTTGGAACCATTATTTTCTTCAGTCAATACATTTGCAACGGTAGGGGAACCTGAATGGCAGCTCTACCACAATACGAAAATGTGATGAGATGAAGCATACTAAAGATTTGAAGGGATTATTCTTAATGGGACGTTAACTGTGTGTCTGTGTAGCAGAACCTGAATGGCAGCTTTGCCGGAATACGAAAGTGTAATGAGGTGAAGCATATTAAAGATCTGAAGGCACTACTTTTAATTGGATGTTGACTGCATTTGTCTTTGGAAAATTCTAATAGTTTGAATAGTAAATATTCCCGTGCAAACCAAACCACAAAGCAAACACTATTAAAAATTTATTCAAAATATGGAATATTTGCACACCTCTAAAAATTAAAATAAACAAAAAAAGATTGTTATAAAGCTATGTGGGGAACTGTTGGCCCAAAGCTCAGACACTAAATGGCTTCAAGGAAACCCAACAACTAATCCAGACTTTTGCAGTAGTACGTCTACTTTTTCCTACCACCGTGCTTTAGACTGCATACAAGGAATGAATGGGGAATAGGGGGAGGAATTGACATTCTTGCTTTGAAATATGCCCAACCAAGTATAACCGTTGTTACAGAGGCACGCTACTCTTATCACAGGGCATGATGCTTGTTCCTCCATACACTCTACTGGGTATTTCCGTGCTCCTCATCTTGAAAGTAAAGCTCATTAGCCCAAGGAGTGCATGAACAGCGCAGCTGAAGTTTATTACTCTTTCAATAACTGAATATTGTAAATGCTTATGATGCACCTCATAATCTTCATCTTTAAATGCATTAGAATTGCTTACCATATGTATTTGTATCCAAAGTGTTCAGATATATGGGAACCATGTTTCGCAATTGTTTTTAGGAGTGAAGCTCCTTATGGCGTGGCTTGTGTATCCCCCATTGTCGTAGTGTGTAACCTGTGGCACATACTCCCATACCAGTGACCCATACGTGCTCTCGGGCACACATCCGCATGTCAACATGCAGATGTGTGGTCCACAGCAAAAATGTGGTACATACTCTCATTGATTGATTTGATTGATATGTGGGGTTTAACGTCCCAAAACCACCATACGATTATAAAAGACGCCGTAGTGGAGGGCTCCGGAAATTTCGACCACCTGGGGTTCTTTAACGTGCACCCAAATCTGAGCACACGGGCCTACAATATTTCCGCCTCTATCGGAAATGCAGCCGCCGTAGCCGGGATTCGAACACGCGACCTGCGGGTCAGCAGCCGAGTACCTTAGCCACTAGACAACCGCGGCGGGGCTACATACTCTCATTTAGTCCTCGGATTGTCCGCTGAATGGCGTTACTTGTATATGATGAATATATAATAAAAAGAAGCGAGATGGCGGTGCTTGTTCACTAGATGGATGAACGGACACATGGATGGATGCTCAAATGAACGCATGTACGGATGAACTGATGCCCAGTCCTGTAGAGTCTGAGGTATCGCCCAGCACAGGACATGCTGAGGCTACGTCTCGATTACTATGAAACACAGCCACGCCGGGTGAATACCTTTCCCGAGAACGCGAGCCTACAGGCTAGCAACACGGCTGACCGTCAAGTGTGAGATCTGCCCATCGGTGTCTTCTTATTGCCGCGTGACTCTACACACTTGCATTTGGCCACACATTTTAAATAAACTAAATTTCTATTACAGGCTCATTGAACCATTTTTGAACCTTTTGAATATACGATCTGAGCTCAGTGTGTTGGTTATTTCCTCACGCTAATAATTTGAGGGCTGTTCCCCGACCTTCTTAGCTGGAGGTATGATGTGAGGAAATGAAATTTTTAAAGATAAACATGCGCTTGCTTTTAACCAGCATATCAGTGAAAGTTCTAACAAAAAAAAAGAAGTTCAACAAAGTTTGACAGTGCTAGCGCTGCGTTTTAGCTACCCGAACGTAACCAAATTGCATCATTGGCCTTTATTGCATTTTTAGTATTCATCCCGTCTATTTATGCTTGGAACTTCGAATACTAACTATTCAAAAGTCAAATCGAACTCTCCGATAAGGTATTATTCAATTCGAATTGAAAACACTAATATTTTCACAACTCTGCTTTTAAACACAAGCAGCGTACTCGCATGATTAGCTAGCATGCCAAGCTAGCACAAGCTAGCAGCAAAAGGCTATTAGCCCCAAGAACGAACACTGGCATCACAGCAGTCCTGACGATGTGACGTCACGGCAAGCACTCGCCTTCTACGCCGCCGCTTGTCTCCGTTTTCCGCACCTATCGCGTACCCGCTCTTTAGCGATACATTGGTGATTACTCCTGAGTTGCGTGACACAAATCTTTCAAGATACAAGTTGAAAGTTTTCATAACTAGTGAATGTTATCGAGGCTGTGAAAACTTTTCATAGTTTAGCTTACAAGATACATAGGGAGACTTCCGTCTGAATGAAAGATTTACTGTGAAAATTGTTGTTTTCGTAGTGTACATGAAGAAATTGGTGCTATAGGAAAATATGCTATGGTGGTGCTAACGTGATTACCAATAGGCATAGACTCCAGGAGGAAAAAATATGTGTGCCAAAGTATCACAAATGAAATTAGCATCTTTCCAATATCACTAGATACATTGCCCTTCGCCATGCAAGTTACACCTGCATCTGCAAATAATCTATCTAATCAGTGGTTCTCAGCCATGGATGTGTCGGGGACCCCTTGGGGACTGGTGGAAGTGATGGGGGACCCCTTGCAGCGGAGGGGAGTGAGGGGAAGTACGTGGGTAAATTAACATAACTGGAGCGTCAAAGAAGTGCCTTTTATTGCTACCAAAAACATCAAACAAACGTGCCACATCACTTCATTTTGGACAGTTCATCAATACATGGCACAGTCACGCTTAAAGAAAACTGCGGGTGAGGGTTTCGCGGATCATAGAAATAGCTTTCCGCGGACCCCCATTTCAGAATCACTGATCTAAATGATTTGACAGAATTGCATTTTCTCCAACAGAAAACTCTACATCTTTACATGAATCTGACTGTCATCATACAGTCCCCATACAGCGAACATTTTTCAAAGCCTCCTACTTTTACAACGAACACTTCCGACACTGTCGCGAAAAAAAATATGAAGCTTGTGAAGCGAAAAAAGTGTTAAAACAGAAATTCTAAAACACAAGATGGGCGCTAGCTTGCGTGTTCCCCACTGCTGTTTACTTGCGACAAAGATACCGTAGAGCACAGTGAGCACTGCACGCAGATTTCGCATGTTGCGAGCTAGGTCCCTCACTTTCCAGACGTTTCTTCACCGGCAGAACAGAAGTAAGAAAAAAACGAAAAACAAAAAGAAAATAGGAGGCAGCCAGAAGACTTATCTTGCAAACAGCTTTCGTGCGGCAAACTTTTCTGACACCGTTCTTGACATTGTGAGGGTGCTGACACCCCCTGTAGAGTTGTTTGTGCCGCGTGGCGCACACGTCTCGCACAGGAGCCGTATTTTGGGGTCGCAACCATTGAGCGGTAGGTGGCATTGTGCTTGTGAGCGTTGAATGCCCCCATCATCATCATGGTTAGAAAACGTTAGCCCTGGCGGCAAGCCTTGGTGACCACGTGCAAGAAACAAGCTGACCTCTTTTGCGGGTGGAGGTTGCCACAAACGGTTGACTCCAGCAGTGGGTCTGCCGTGGACGGCACCGCAAGCCGTCTGTGGTGGGCCCACGTGGCGAGTCAAACGGCGAAGCCGCCTTATGTGTTTTATTGTGTTTATGTTGTTGAGTGTTGTGTAATAATTGGTAAAGATATCTTAGCATGTTGCTCACGATTGATGTTATGATTATTCGGCTGATGATATTGTCGTTTTAAATTAGTTAAATAAATGTGTGTTGTTGTTTCGTTCGTTCCAACCGCTTGTCCTATGTCCGTTCACTCTAAGAGTGTTGTGGCTCTCGTCACATCAAGACCCCACACTGGCTGCCCAACGTAGAGCTCTTGGAGCATTGGACAAGTTTTTGCGGTTCGGAACAAGCTTTTGTTTGAGCCGGGGAAGAGTAGGCCTAGGGGGAACTTCCCATTGCTAGCATCGGCGGTGTGCTTTGTTGAGCGAGGAAATCGGTTGAAACGTGTTTGAACTTGTCACAACTTTGAGTTCTATTGTTTTTCTGCTCGCAAGTGATTTTTCGTTGTTGTTGTTGTTGCTTTGAAAGAACGTTGTTGAGTTGGTACGAGAGCCATGCAGTCTGCAACCTAGAGTGAGCAACGCTTAGAGCATGTGTATTGTAGGCCACGCCCCAAGCGAGTCAGTACGGATGCCTCGTGGGTGGTCCGATTTTCCGTAAACAACTTCATCTATCTCTTTGGACTCAGGGAGTCGGGCGTCATTGCTGTCTGGTATTGCGGCTCGACGCCGGGGTGTCGTGAAATTATCCGGTACGGTGGACACAGATCACTCGGTAAGCTGCTCTGTGCGGCGAGCGATAGGACCACCTTACAGAGTGGATGCCTCTTTGTGGCTGCCTCTTCTGCATCTAGGCTGAGTGCTGGGTGGATGCCAGTTGTTGTCGAGCGACTCATTAGGCCGAAGGCTCTGCGCAGCCGCCAGTCGCACGTGGCACAACTAGGAAGATCGTGTGTTGCACTCTGCTTCCCTCACTTTTTTTTTTATCTTGCGATGCACTAGTTAGGAAAAGTGACTTTTGTTTTATTTTTGTTGGGCGTCTCGGCCACCACCGATGTATTAGCTAACAGTACTGACCATCGTACCACGTGGGCGAGGAGCCCGAAGCTCCCTTCCCTTGGCCCTACTGCATTGTTCTTTTGAGTGTTTGGAATGTACGCAGCGGGAGTGATGTAACCCACGGCTGGCTGTCTTCTGCACATCGTCAGCGCTGCTGGCCAGGAATGCGATCATGAGGTCGGGCGATGGACTTGCTTGGGACCTGCGCAACTGCCTGCAGTCCGGCGCCCTCGTGAGTGCTGGTCGCAACTGAAAGACGTGTCGGCGCGAGTTATGGTTCATCGTGCCGACGGCAACTTTGCTGTTGTGGGACCGGTGCTGAGGTGAAGTCGTTAAGCCGGACAGTGCAACAGTGTGGACCGGCGGCAGTGCTGTCGTGCACAGACATTATGTAGGAACATGTGTTGTCATTTTTTGTTAGAGCTTGTGTAGCTGATTTCTTTTATGTTTTTCTTTTCGGGATATTGTTTGAATTAAAGTTGGAAGAATGCAGGGGTGCTGGCACCCCTTAAAGTTGCTTACGCCGCGTGGTGAACGTGTCTTGCACAGAAGCCGTATTTTTGGGACACGACTATTGAGCGGTAGGTGGCGTGCTTGTGAGCATTTATCGCCCTCATCATCACCATGGTTAGAAAACGTTAGCACCAGCGGCGATGCGCAAGAAATAAGCTGGCCTCTTTTGCAGGTGGCGGTTGCGGCGAACGGTTGACTCTAGCGGTGGGTCTGCCGTGGACGGCACCGCGGGCCGTCGGGGGTGCGCCTACGTGGTGAGTCAAGCATTGGCGAAGCCGCCTTATGTGTTTTATTGTGTTTATGTTGTTGAGTGTTGTTTAATAATGTGTAAGGATGTCTTAGCGTGTTGATCACGATTGATGTTATAATTATTCGGCTGACGATAGTCGTTTTAAATTAGTTAAATGTGTGTTGTTGTTTGGTTCGTTCCGACCGCATCTGCTGTGTCCGTTCACTCCAAGAGCGTGGTGGCTCTCACCACATCAAGACCCCACAGCACCTACGACTGCCAACGATCAACCAACAATGCCCCTTCAAAATCAAAATGCCATAAATGCGAGAAGCGATAACCTTCACTGCAACGCTCAACTCTCCGACACTACTATGCGCCACAAACGTTTTTCCACCTTTCGATAACGGCAAAGATCGGTCGATTAGTACGTGCGGTTTCAGCGGTGCCTCAACAGATAAGCACAAGAGCGATGGCAACGTGACTGGTGGCAATGGGCCGGCCATTTTGACTCATTGCCTTCAACCTTATCACAGTCATCTGCAGATAGCTGCTCCGCGGAGTGACGGCAGTTAGAGTGCATCATGCTGCCGTTCGCAAGTTCGTTGGTGCTGCGTCGTGCGGGTTGCTTGCGCGTGTTGCTTGCACAATTTTCGGCGTCTGTGTTTCTTAATCGAATAGGCTACTCGCCGCACCCGAGCACGATACTGAGTGAAGCATGTGCAAAGAAAGTACAAATGCCCGCATACATTGGACTGCAAGCGAAATGGCATGCTGCGGCGAGAGCCGAGATAGCGACGTGCCACACGCAATTAGCAAGGGATCATTGGTTCGATGTGGCGGTGCTGCGCTTCAGTGGAACAGTGAGAGTTCATCGCGAACGTGGCTGAATTCACTCGGGAGCAAACGGGCATTGTTAAACACGTAAAAAGGCCTAACTTGTCAGCGGAAGGGTTGTTTACACTTTTGAATAAAAATACACAGAAAAAAAACAACTTTTTTTTAGCAACTAAGTGGACGTTTTTATGGGGGGCCACATGCAATAAATAACTGAAATAACGATCATTTCTCGCGGCACTTTCAAGTTCGTTATAAATAGGTTCGACTGTATATGCTTCTTCTCAACAGTCGCCAGAGATTGTGTGGTAAAATACCCTGATTTGCATGAAATGCTGGGCTGATCTACCGCCGCGTCACAAACAGTATTGTTCATTTCACATGGCAGCACAGCTAACAGCAACGATTCTAACAAAGACGCCAGAAAGTCGAAATGAACTCTTTCAATGGCGCAGTCACCGACATGGCCCAAGTAATCATTAAACAACCTTGGCCTCGATGACGCGACGACAGGTCTTGTACGTCATGTCCTCATACAGGTAATCAACTGCAAGAAAAATCAATTTATGAGGTGGCTATCTAAACTGGTAGTTACGAGTGCCATAATTCTGTTGCTACGATTCTGCACGAAGGCAGAATCTGAGAGTAATGAGAATTTCCACACATAAACACACTTAACCTCAATAACTTTTCGGTGAAATGAACCTACAAAATTATTGCGGGAGAAACATGAAACTGAACGTGTTGAGTGAGCAAGTACACAAGAAAAACAGACGCAACAGCGGCAGCGGTATGCTAGGGTGAGTGCATTCGAGACATTTTGCGAGACTCGATAATGCATGTGAGCGCGGGACTTGGCATACCAGCGAAAGCACTGTTCGTAGATATGTGGATTCCTCAGACACAATAACACTAGAGGAGGGAAGACCATCACATCTACAGGAATCATCCATGAACAGCTCAACCTAATAATGTGAATATGGTGTCTTGTGTTTCAAAATCACATGAGTATGCACTAATGAGTTTATTGTACCCAAGTAGAAGTGTATTCTTGCTTTTGACACCCCTCAAAATGCGGCTGCTGTGGGTAGGAACAGAATTCATTAAAGGGGATAGCAGCGTGACACAGATCTTTTCATTCCTTTCACATTGCCTACGACCGAGCGCGTGATTGTGTAGAAGCAAAAGCAAACATTTATTGTTTTACCAGGAACATTATCGATTCTGTTTTCGTCGTTCATCTGCAACTTGAGACGAAAAGAAAGCGAACGCAAACAATAGAACAGCGCACGAAGCGAGCGCATCATTAAGTAGGCGTGCGGTGGCGGGCATCAAAGGGCCCATGCCGTGACGTCACCCAGGCCTCCCGCCAGAAGGCGCCATTCCAACTTCTCGGGGCTAATAGATACTCAGCAGCCACAAACCCACTCTCTACTACTGCTAGTGATAGGGCACCTTACTGGCGTTGCCAAATCAGTAAATGCATGCCCACCTCAGTGTCTCTGTGGAACATTCGGTATAACCAGTGTAAGAAATGCCATTATCACCCCCGAACAACACGAAGTAATACACCTTGTCTACATACACGGCGTAAACATACTAAACAGTTAATTAAACATGCCCCATACCCCAGCAACCACAGGCCAGTGCTTAGCTCAGCACCATAGCACCTTGATGCTTCACATTATGATTCCTTCAAAATACAACCAAATAAAAAAGAAAAAAAACCTGAGTTCCCAGGCTTTCTAGCAAGTCAGGCTTCAAGTCCGTGGTAGCCCCCAAGCAATCAGAGTTCCTATAGAAAGAAAAAAAAAAAGCCGCAATACTTAACATTCTAGTGTTATATTCAGCTAATAAAGGTAGCAAAAATCGTCAGCACTTTTAACTTGTTTTAATTACCTCAGCTGATCTTGAGCTTTAAACAAGTGAATTCTTACTAATTATCAGATATGCCATTCATTCTAGGGCACATGACACAGTTCCAGATTCAAAGCTGGTCAGAGCTGATGCTAGGAGGAATTCTGAGAACCAAAATTAGTAAGAGTTTCAAACCCTCCAAATAAGCTGGAAAATACTGTAGAGTTCCACTAATTTTTGCACTATAATGTGCAAGGATGACTTGTTAGAAAATAATACATGGTGTACCAATGTTATGAGCCAATGAATCACAACTGAAAATTGGTGATGTCCTCACCATCTAGAAAAAACATACTGGTCTACAGCCTTTCCAGACATCAATTGTACAGTCATAATAAATGACCTGAAATATTTAGAATTATAATTAGTGAGCAATATTAAAACCTAATAAGCTAATTACTATAAAACAGTCTTCTTGTAGGGTACTTCAATCCAGGGGCAGAAGCGGGCTTCAATCTTTAGGAGCAGCATAAGAAAGAGCAGCAATGCTGCATTACAACAGCTTTGAAGTGGTAAAAGAGTTTTTTAGCAGCTTTGGAGTATAAAAAGATGCATTTTGGAGCAACAAAGATTACCTTTCGAGCAAATTTTTATGGTCAGACATCTTTGTTAATTGAAGTTTTTTTATTTCTGGTAAACATAAAAAATTACAATGTTTTTACTACACATTCAATACTAATTAACCACTTTTTCTACAAATTATATATATATTCTTCTAATTAAAATGTTGCACCTTAAGAAGCAATAACTAAGAAAAAATAACAAATGCTTCAAATGCTACACTTGATTAGCATATAATTCTGAGCATGCTCCTCCCTCCAATGTCACTACCAATTTCATATTTTCATGTCCATTCCACAAAAAAGCCTCCCCCCCTTCTCCCCACCTTTTCTTCGTACCTCGATCATATATGCATCAATGCAGCACTGGCCTTTTTGGACCCTTGGACCCTAGCAATTCAATCTCTAATGTCTATGTGTGAAACTAGTTGCAAAAAAAAAATGTGAGTCTTTGTTTCTCTGCCTAATTATCACACCCCGAATGCAAAGCAAGACACCAATAAAAATTTTCAGGCTCCTGTGAGCAAAAGCAACGCCTTCAAAGCCTGTATTCCAAGAAAGTGCTCATGACGACGTAGTCAGCTAAAGTAGGGCTTTCTGATATCAATCTTTGTCGCTTAGCACTGTTTCATTGACACATCATCGTAGGTTCTTCCATGTCACACTTCCCACAGTTGAATTGCATTGCCATTGTGTTTGTTGTGTATGGAGACTCTTGATGTAATCAGTCGTGCTCTGAAGGCGAGTGAGAAGACTTCAGAGGAAGTCCACATATACTTGCTTTTTTCATGAACAAATGACGACTATTAGAATAAATTGAAAAGCATGTGCTTCTGTTCTTAAAGTGCCACAGCCGATATGAAAATTGAGAGAAAAATAGAGATAAGCAATAAAGTGCGTCGCGAAAACCATGGCTAACCAATTACCTTCGCAGCCAAATCAAGGTAAAAAATAACCTTTATTGGGATTTCATCAGGACCAGAAACCCTGAAACATGGAAAAAATTTAAATCTTTCCGAAATCGTTTGAATGCTACGCTAAAGAAAGCAAAGGAAGAATATTTTTTCAAGCATTTCTCTGTCGCGGCAAACACTGAGCTGTTGTGGAAACGACTAAACGCCATAGTTCATCCTAAGACTGACCGTGCGATTTCGAGCCTGTGTGTAAACGGTCTCATGAAGTGCGGTTCAGATTTGTCAAACGCACTCAATGACCATTTCATTGCGGTAGGCCAGTCAGGCGCTTGCAACGTAAATCCATATCCCATTCAAGGTACCAGTTCGCCCTACTCCAGTATGGTATTTTTCCCAACAACGGAGAGTGAAGTTGTCGGTATATTTAGGAGCTTAAAAACTTCTAGATCACTGGATGCAAACGACATGCAAATCCGCCCTATAAAGCACATCATCGACATTATTGCTCCTATTCTGACAGCACTGTACAATTTAGTGCTTGAAAGTAGCTGTTTTCCAGAAAAAATGCAAACAGCAAGGGTAATTGCCATACACAAGGGGGGCGATGAAAATGATTTGGGAAATTTTAGACCAATTTTTATACTCCCAATCTTATCTAAAGGCCTGGAAAAGATTATTCACGCACGACTTGTTCGCTTCCTGAATAAACACTCTTTCATTTCATTGGCCCAGTACGGGTTCTTGAAAGGAAAATCCACAGAACAAGCACTACTTGCTCAAAAAGAATGTATAATAGATGCCTTTGAAGATAAAAATATAGTACTAGGTGTATACATCGACTTCTCAAAAGCTTTTGATTGTGTGCAACATAACCTACTACTGTATAAGCTAGAACACTATGGCGTGCGTGGGAGGTCCAATGACCTTCTGCGTTCATACCTTCGCCATAGAAGTCAATTTGTCACAAATGACACTTTCGATTCAAAGACTAAACGCCTGAAGTCCGGGGTGCCCCAGGGCAGTATACTCGGCCCGCTCCTATTCATCGTCTACATAAACGACATTTTTTCCTCTTTTACTAATTGTAAGTGGGTAGGTTACGCCGATGATACAGCCCTTTTTTTCAGCGGAGTAAAGCCGGATGGGTTGGTATCTTTAGCTAATGATGCGCTTGCAGAAGTATCAGCGTGGTCAAAAAGAAATTCCTTGAAAATTAACACAAAAAAGACTCAAGCCATAATTTTCCGCACTAGAAACAGAGTTATTGAACTGACAATAAAGTTGTATCTTGATAATGACGAAATTAGTGTTGTTAGAGAGATCAAAGCTTTGGGTGTCACTTTCACAGAAACATTGTCGTGGAATAAGCATGTGCAAAATGTTTGCAACAAGTTAAACTCCGTCACTGCATTAATTAATAAAAACCGTCAAATATTACCAGTAAAAGCTAAACGTCTGATATATAATGGATTATTTTTATCGACATTAAATTATTGTCATCTTGTATGGGGTACTACATCCTCTGACAACTTGAAAAAACTCGGTATATGCCAAAAGCGCGCAATTCGTGCAATAGCCAACGTTCCGTATGCTACTCATACTGCCCCTTATTTTGAAGCATATAATATACTCAAAGTTAAATTCGTCTACGCATTCCGTCTTTCCTGTACATACCGTCTCGCCATGAGGACTAATAACACCGAATTCATCAGTTCGTTTCGCCTAGCAAGACGTCACTATACATACGACACAAGAAGTCAGGATGACTGGATCCAGCCAATATGCCGCACAAACTATGGCAATCAGTCTGTATCGTATCAACTAGCCGTAATCTTAAACAAATATGCAAAACATGGCATAGCCACTGAGTCGGCCTCAGCACGCACCTTTCGCTCATTCTTATCGGGTGAAGTTTAGACTTCGTTTCACACTAACATCTAGTCGTATTCATCAGTCGCAGAATGATACGCACGGTTCATCTGTTTGTACATGGCGTTTTTTTTTCTCTTTTTGTCTGTGTGCGTTTGGCTTGCTCATTCTCTTTCGGAAATTGTTTACTTTTTTGTTTTTTTTTTTTTTTGCATACGAATTTTTTTGTACTGTGCGTTGAAATTGTAATCTTCTTTTCACCAATAGGACTTATTATCATGGTCCACATAATAAACCGAGGCTATAACATTTCTCATACTAGAGAAATGTGCTCAGTGTTGGTAACTATTACCTGTTTTAGATTTCGTTCAAATGACTGTTACGTTTATGTCGTTTACCAATGACAACGGCATGTTTTTTTTAACGTTTTTTTATGTTCTCAGTGTAATACTGATTTATTGCCTTTGCAGTTTTTTGTTGGATTATTTATCAACTTCTGTTGTACACGTAATCATTACCTACAGCTGTTCGTGTTTTTCTTTTTTGTCCTTTTTTCCATAAGTCTTATGAATGTGTATTACTATGTATAATGATGTATAAAGACCAAGTCCTCCCATGTTTCTCCTAGAAATCGCTACATTTGCCTCTTCCTGTCAATGTGCATTCAAATCAAATGTTTTATTTTCCAGAAAAATCAATTTTTGTGTGGTTGATCATTGTTACTGCTGGACTTTGTAGGGGGCCGGAGCTTTGTCAAGCCGCAGTACTGCGGCTTTTTTTCCGTCACCCCCATATTTCTCTATGAGAAATAAAAGTTGATTGATTGATTGAAATTGAAATAAACTTGACCATGCTTCCGTGATATTGTTATGTGTTCACACTGACAAAACACAAGCAGACATGTACCAGGGAGAATACAAGAGAAATGAAATTTTTACAAAACTCCACTACCGATGGTATGACAATAAAACAAATTCACTGACGATTATGAAACTGCAAATGCAAATTCTGCGCGTAGCTTGGTCTTGCGGCAACGATAACTGCTCTTGAAGTTTTGTGTATCAACAGTTCTAGCAATGCAACATTCCTTACATGTTGCTACAGAATCAACCTGTGCTCGAGTGCTACGCACACCACTCTGTTCATTGCAGGCATCGCGAACCAAGTGAAATGCTGACAGCAATCAAGTGCTTTGCACACCGCCCAGTGCATTGCAAGCATTGCAAACCATGCGAGATGCTGATAGCCCCATTACAACAAATGAAGCCAACCGCAGTGCATGTGCCAGTCCTGAATGCACATGAGACAGAGGAAGAAAATGAGGTTAGAGGCCAGTGGCTCGTGATATCGACTGATTTCACGTTAGCTCTCTTTCGTCCTTGTTCGCTCTGTTGGTTATGCTGGTGGCAATGCTCAATGCTGGAAAGGGTGCCTAAAAGCTGCGCTGTATAATTGCTACACAACCACTTTTTTATAGCTATTTCTCTCCTACCCTTTCCTGCTCACTAACTTTTTTGCGCCACCACCAACGTCCT